AACCATTTTGTTTGTGTGCGTGCGTGCGTGCGTGCGTGCAAGCTTGTACTAGTCCGGACTGATGCCGGTTATTGTACTAGCACACTGAGATACCATGCCACAGTTTAACATGAATACCCCACTCAGACACAGTATACTGACTCTGAGCTCGACCAGTCCTTGTTTTAGCCCCTTAATGCTGAGAACCAGACAGGGTAACAACAAGTACCATCTTTTAACGTCTTTTGGTATGACGCGGACAGGGATGGAAACCCAGACCTTACGCTCTCCAGGCAGACACTCTGCCACTAGAACATGGAGACGGTCAGGCTGATACTAGAATGTGTGGGGATTGTGTTGAATTATTGCAATGAAAGATGTCACTGATATCAGATTGCTGTCTACAGTTTGTGTGTTAAAGATTAAATAAGCAGTGTGTGATGTTTTTGTGGTTGACATGTTTGTTATAAGAATTGACTTCAACATGTTTTTGCGCTTATTGAGTTATAAACGTAAAAATGTAAAACCTGTTATGCATAAACCAATTTAAAAATGAAAAAAATATTGACATCAATCCTTAAACTTGTTAAAAAAAAGGTGGATATTGATGATGTTTATACAAAATGGTTGACATGGTTAAAATGCTCACTATGCCAACACAGTATCAAAAGTTTATTTTGGGCAAACTGGTTAACAAGTGGCCGAAGAAACATGCACAGTGACTGAGTGTCTCATTTCTCTTTCAATCGGACAGTAAACACCAAAAAGGTTTTTTGAAAAACTATCTTACAAAACTGTAATACTTTTCATTCAGACAAGCAGACATACTTCATGTGAGTTAAAAATAACAATGATGAAATATATTTATATTTGCCATACTGAACAGAATACAAGCATACAACAGAAGGGAGCTTCCTGTAGCCGTCATTGATTAGTGAAGCCTAATTTGACTCTGAACATACAGCTGTGAAGTCAAACTGAAAAGTGTCGCCTTGACCTATGTAATGCAACAATCTCATCAATGCCTTGACCTAGTTTTATATGACCCAGGCACTGTCCTGTGTTGGGAAGAATACTACTGCATGGCTGGTCTCTGTATGACCTGTAAGTGTATTGTACATAGTAGGCTGGTGCTTCTCCGGGCTGCTCCCCTAGCTGTGAGGAAGCTTCATGCTATGGTACACACATTATATTCACAGTGCTTCACAAATGGAAGCTTAAGCCCAAATAACATAATATTCTTTAAATATTTTATATTCTCACAAATTATGAAAGTGTGTTTCAATATTTTTGTGATTTCATATTCACAATTCACAGTTTGAGTGAAGTTATGGTGTCCATTTTTATTTTGTTTTCAAAAACACATTACTTTGTATACCATTTAAGGAAACTTCCAGTCACACTTCCTATGCTTCAACAGACCCTCAAGGGTTACCTCCCTTTATTATCATTATGTTCATTGATCAAACCCTTTACATCAAGAAAGTTTGTATGGTTTGGTTTGTTTGTTGTTTAATGCCACACTCAGCAATATTCCAGCTATGTGAAGGCAGTCTGTAAATATTCAAGTCTGGACCAGACAATCCAGTGTTTGACATAATGAGCATCGATCCACGCAATTGGGATACGATGATGTGCATCAACCAAGTCAGGGAGCCTGACCCCTGACCACCCAATCCCATTAGTCGCCTCTTACAACAGCCTTGTCATCTTTTATGGCAAGCATGGGTTGCTGAAGACCCATTCTACCCAGGATCTTCACGGGGCTGTATGGTTTGGTACAGAAACTCAATATTGATCCCCTGTCAATACCAGAGCTCCAGATAAGCTGCGTTTCTGCGTAAAATAGGCATCAGAAATGCAGAAATATGCAGTAAAACAATATCCAAGCGTATCAAATACGCAATGAACATTACAGATACGCTACAAAAATAAAACTTTTGCGTATCATAAATATTGTGAAGTAACCCTGCGTATTCGATTGGCAAATCAGCAACTTATTTTGAAATTATAAACGGGCATTCCGTCAACCTTGCCAAACTCCACGATGACAGTTACATCATGATCATTTGCAATCCCACTTTCTTGTGGAAGTATCGTGGTATTTTTTAGTCCTATAAAGCTCTCGAACCCACACGACACCATTTTGCAGGGACTAGATGAATAGTGTTTTTAAATATTTAACTTAAATACCTACATGTGTAAAAACTAGTGGGTAACAGAAATTTGAATACCCAGATAGAATTACTGATACCCAGTGATTTTAAAATGCATGGGTAAAATACCCACAACACCAAAAGCTTATCTGGAGATCTGCAATACAAACCTAAAGAGGAAATATGGTCCTTGATCTAGAAGCCATTTGACGCCTCCATCAAGACACTGTTCACTTCCAACTTAGTACTGTTACTAGTCCTATATATAAAACTGAAACATGGTCTCTGTGCAACACAGGTAAGAATCAACTACTAGATTGTCTAATGGATGAGCATGCAAATTTTCATTCATGTAATTGTAACTTCAGTGGTGAAGAAATGAGAAATGTTGTCCCCATTTCAGGTGAGGTTTAATGGCGTTTAACATCGCGTCCAAGATTATTGAACTTATATAGTGACGTGCATGCATGTGAGTGTGTGTGGCTGTTTGTACTAGTCCGGACTGATACCGATTTATAGTGCTAGCCCACTGAGATAACAATGAATACCCCACTCAGACACAGTAAACTGACTTGAGCCAACCAGGCCTTGTTTTAGCACCTTAATGTCTAGCATCAGGCAGGGTAACAACAAGTACCATCTTTTAACGTCTTTTGGTATGACACAGCCGGGACTCAAACCCAGGACCTTCCACTCTCCAGACGGAATTTAGTTGCCTCTCACCACAAGCAATACAGTGCTGGGAACCTATCCCGACCAAGGTCCCCAGGAAGTGATGAGCAATAGAGAGCTGGGGACCTCCACTAACCCAGGTCCCCACAGTGTGACAAGCAATAGAGAGCTGGCGACCTATTCTAACCTGGGTCCCACAGTGTGACAAGCCATAGAGAGCTGGGGACCTCCTCTAACCTGGGTCCCCACAGTGTGACAAGCAATAGAGAGCTGGGGACCTATTCTAACCTGGGTCCCACAGTGTGACAAGCCATAGAGAGCTGGGGACCTCCTCTAACCCAGGTCCCCACAGTGTGACAAGCAAAAGAGAGCTGGGGACCTATTCTAACCTGGGTCCCACAGTGTGACAAGCCATAGAGAGCTGGGGACCTATTCTAACCTGGGTCCCACAGTGTGACAAGCCATAGAGAGCTGGGGACCTATTCTAACCTGGGTCCCACAGTGTGACAAGCAATAGTTAGCTGGGGACCTATTCTAACCTGGGTCCCACAGTGTGACAAGCAATAGAGACCTGGGGACCTATTCTAACCTGGGTCCCACAGTGTGACAAGCCATAGAGAGCTTGCGACCTATTCTAACCTGGGTCCCACAGTGTGACAAGCAATAGAGAGCTTGCGACCTATTCTAACCTGGGCCCCACAGTGTGACAAACAAAAGTTAGCTGGGGACCTATTCTAACCTGGGTCCCACACTGTGACAAGCAATAGTTAGCTGGGGACCTATTCTAACCTGGGTCCCACACTGTGACAAGCCATAGAGAGCTGGGGAACCTATTCTAACCTGGGTCCCACAGTGTAACAAGCAATAGAGAGCTGGCGACATATTCTAACCTGGGTCCCACAGTGTGACAAGCAACAGAGAGCTGGGGACCTATTCTAACCTGGGTCCCACAGTGTGACAAGCAATAGAGAGCTGGGGACCTATTCTAACCTGGGTCCCACAGTGTGACAAGCAATAGAGAGCTGGGGAACCTATTCTAACCTGGGTCCCACAGTGTAACAAGCAATAGAGAGCTGGCGACCTATTCTAACCTGGGCCCCACAGTGTGACAAACAAAAGTTAGCTGGGGACCTATTCTAACCTGGGCCCCACAGTGTGACAAGCCATAGAGAGCTGGCGACCTATTCTTACCTGGGTCCCACAGTGTGACAAGCAACAGAGAGCTGGGGACCTATTCTAACCTGGGTCCCACAGTGTGACAAGCAATAGAGAGCTGGCGACCTATTCTAACCTGGGTCCCACAGTGTGACAAACAATAGAGAGCTGGCGACCTATTCTAACCTAGGTCCCACAGTGCGACAAGCAAAAGAGAGCTGGGGACCTATTCTAACCTGGGCCCGACAGTGTGACAAACAATAGAGAGCTGGGGACCTATTCTAACCTGGGTCCCACACTGTGACAACCCATAGAGAGCTGGGGACCTATTCTAACCTGGGTCCCACAGTGTGACAAACAATAGAGAGCTGGGGACCTATTCTAACCTGGGCCCCACAGTGTAACAAACAATAGAGAGCTGGGGACCTATTCTAACCTGGGCCCCACAGTGTGACAAACAATAGAGAGCTGGGGAACCTATTCTAACCTGGGTCCCACAGTGTGACAAACAATAGAGAGCTGGGGACCTATTCTAACCTGGGCCCAACAGTGTGACAAACAATAGAGAGCTGGGGACCTATTCTAACCTGGGTCCCACAGTGTGACAAGCCATAGTTAGCTGGGGACCTATTCTAACCTGGGTCCCACAGTGTGACAAGCCATAGAGAGCTGGGGACCTATTCTTACCTGGGTCCCACAGTGTGACAAGCCATAGTTAGCTGGGGACCTATTCTAACCTGGGTCCCACAGTGTGACAAGCCATAGAGAGCTGGCGACCTATTCTAACCTGGGTCCCACAGTGTGACAAGCCATAGTTAGTTGGGGACCTATTCTAACCTGGGTCCCACAGTGTGACAAGCCATAGAGAGCTGGGGACCTATTCTAACCTGGGTCCCACAGTGTGACAAGCCATAGAGAGCTGGGGACCTATTCTAACCTGGGTCCCACAGTGTGACAAGCTATAGAGAGCTGGCGACATCCTCTAACCCAGGTCCACACAGGGTGCACGATAATCACGATAATAACAAAACAGTAGGATTATACAATCATTGACAGGTTTATTATGAATAAGTGAGTTGTATAATCTGGTAGTTACAGAAACCAGACCAATATTTTTTCTTGTGTTACAGAAGATTCTGCACATCAATTTGCAAAATGCTGTCTCTGAAGAAAAACATTATTTTTTTTAACATGGTTAAACATCCTTTTGCTTTCACTTTAATTTCAAGGTTTCTTTTTGAAAATGAACTCAAATCAACCCAAACAACATTTCCAATCTCATTAAAATCAGATCTTAGTTCTCGCTATCGCTAAACAAAGATCTGAGGACATCCCATTATGGGTCACATCAGATCGACCTTTAATCCAACCAATCAGAGCGTCACTTACCAGATCATGAAAGTGACAGTCAGAATGTGTCATGCAACCTTGAAATATTTAACAGAGGGTATTCCTAACAACAGTTACAGGTTTAATGATTATATCCATACAATCTAGGCCATCTGTAAACCATTCCAGAATTTCTTATCACTTTTAAATTTTTTAATCGAGAATCCGTCAAAATATGTTTCGAAGCATAGTCGCCAGTTTGAAACTAGTGTCGAAAAGCTCGAGAAAGCTGCCTTCTCATTGGCTAATGTCGATTTCTTGTCAGTAATTTCATTGGTCGGTCAAAATTCACGAAAGGTCGTAATGGTTGTCCTCAGATCTTTGTTTAGCGGTAGCAAAAACTAAGATCTCATTTTATAATAAGATTGCAACATTTCTTTCTTACAATGTTCAGACATTCTGTGAAGCAAGAATAAGATTTGGTCTAGCCTGAACATGCTATTACGATGGATGATAATGTGAATACTTCACAGGTTTGTATACACTACATTCCTCCGTCGCCCGTGAATACATACAGACACTATGCAGTGTAGTAGTGGTGCAAGCTTATTTTTAGTTAGCGAATGAAGTATGGAAGTCCAACGAGCCCTACTCCGTATAAGGACTTTGTGCGAACACTACTGTTGCCTCCTTTTGAAGCAATGTGTAGAGTAGCTGGGCAAAAAGCTATGGCACATGTTGCACAAGAAATAACGGCTAAAAGTAGCTCCTACACTGCAAACCAGCTGTACTTATTCACAAGTGATGGAACAACATAGTGCATAAACCCATGAAGTATTGCAAATGTGATACTGCAAGTATTGACAATATGTATGATACTGCAATTCTAACAATAAGTACAATGCTGTAAGTATTGACAATGCGTATGATATCACAAGTATTGACAACATCTATGATACTGCAAGTATTGCCATGTCACAGATGTCGGATGTCAGCATGGCGGGAATAGCACATGAATTTGTCAGCAAACATAATGCTGTAGCCTGTGGTTGTCTGACAAGAACACAAAATGATCAATGTCGTTGACCTGTAAATCAACCTGAATGGACTCGACTCAAGAAACAAGTACAGATTGACAGTGTGGCTACCGTATATCACTGTTTATAATACCTCCAAGCCTATAATACGATTATACGACTCCCGTAGAAACATTCAAAATCAATGCTAATTTATATCAGTCAATACTGTGATCCGAGTGAAGAACATCAGCAGGTCATACAAAGTTGCAAATGTTTCAACAACAAAAAAATATATACGTCAATGCCAGACTGTCTTTCAAGTTAGTTTCAACGCCGGTTGACATTGCCAGTGGTAAGTGAAACAGCTACAAAAAAATACTGTGAGATCTTCTCCCTCATGCATAGTACAATAGTACAACCCTGTCATATACCCCCTCATGCCAGGTACTAAAAGTCACATCATAGACAATGATATACGGTAGTTCTGTGTGGTTCAGTGCTAGTTTATAAATGTGTTAATGAAGAGATCACTAAAAACCTTTGGCTTCTGAATTGCTTGTAATAAAAAAAGCTAGAGCCAGAAAATGATCACACAACCACATCACTGACACTCACACAAGGAAACACTAACACTAAACATCAAGTTGCCAGCAACCACGTACCTGAAGCCAAGAGCAATCATAATAGTTTGTCAAATGGTTGTTGGAAAACAAGACTCACAATCAGATTCAGTTTTCCACATTTGAAACTGAAAACATCAATATATTAATTTATTTATGAAGTTGTTAATTCAACAACCATAGATGTATCTGAACTGTTTCCATAGTTTTCTCATGAAAATACTGTCAACATAATTAACAGGCAGGGTCCTTTTCACAAAGCGATTGTGGTGATATAAATATTGTAAGTCCATGTTGAGGTATGGGAGTAACGACAATCGTAGCATTATGACTGCTTCATAAAACACGGCCCTGGTACATAAATCTTTAAAACAAATACAAACAAAACTAATCTTAATGAGAGAAAGTGCTAAACACAACATAAACAATTTTGCAGTTCATCATGACAACTTAAGATCTTACAGTGAGTCAACTGGGATTACCCTTGCTTTGAACAGAATTTCAGTGATATCTGCTTAATGTGAGAGGAAAAGCCAAAGTGACGCATAGTGTAGACATCTACGATTTTGGTTAAACCCATGAGCACAAGTATGGCATTGATATGTCAAGCGCAAAAATCAGGGAGAATCTGGGTATCAAACCAACCCCAAGCAGATCCTGACATGGCTAACGTACATTACTCTGCAAAACGGTCATGTCACCTTCAACCACTGGGCCACCTGAGTCCCCATGAAGAGACAATATTCTATATACAAAATATAGTTTTTGCCTACCCTGAACATGTTGTACCTAACAGTTCTTGTATTTTCATTTCAAGCTTAGACTGAAAGTATGAGAGTAAGAGCTCATTATTATCGCAAGTCATCCAGAAGCCTATAAGTGAACATTACTGTCTCTTCATCTCTTAAACTCTGCAGGCATTCACTATAGCTCATATCAAGATGTTTAATAGAATATCAAATGTAGCTGCCATGCATCCTAATTGAACATCAGGAGTTTATGGACACATTTGATTCAATTTAAGCCAAAACACATCAAATCAAACATTAGCTCAGCTCAGAGAAACTACAAAAAATACAAATAAGTGAAAGATTTCAGAAAGGGGATACATTTTCATCCAGGTGTTTCAGGCCAGGTGAGTCATAACAATCAGCGTCATATCACATCACAAACAGCCAGCCAGCCAGCCAGGCTAGCTTAGTCCACAACACATCATCTCAATACATCTGGATCACTACCGGTACATCAAATATGTCTACATCGTCCAGTAACACTGAATATACAAGATTGATTATTTGTCCAATCACAGAGCAAACATAGACCATGATCAGCAATGTCAATATACAAAGATACAAATAATCGCTTTTTGTTACAAATGATTTTATAATATATTACACACACTCTGTCTTGTACCAGGAGTTTCACTTAACAAATACTGCAAGCAACAAGAAAAAACATGGCTGACAACTTCACCAACAACCCAATACATGTACTTGCTCCATACATGCTTTATAAGTGTTGGTAGGAAAATGTGGCTAAAGTGCTCATGTTCCATCACAGAGCTAGTATCTGCACAGATATTCAATTCAAGTGTTAATGAAGAAGTTGTCCGCCATGCACTTTCTTGCTAGTGCCTCCATAAACTGCTACAATGACAATCGTAGGAAAGTACAGTAAGTTGTCATCACAAGCGAGGCCGGATGTGCAGGGACGTGTCTGAAACACACAGAAAAAAAGAACTTTGAGAAAAGGATTCCTTGTTAACACTGGTTAAGTGTGGTGGAATAGAGTTTAATGTCGCGTCCAAGATTATTGCACTTATATAGCGACGTGCATGCACGTGTATGTGTCTGTCTGGCTGCTTGCACTAGTCCGGACTGATGCCGATTTATAGTGCTAGCACACTGAGATACCATGCCGCAGTTTAACATGAATACCCCACCCAGACACAGTATACTGACTCCGAGCTGACCAGTCCTTGTTTTAGCCCCTTAATGCAGAGTGCCAGACAGGGTAACAACAAGTACCATCTTTTAACGTCTTTTGGTATGACGCGGCTGGGGATCGAACCCCGGACCTTCCGCTCTCCGGGCGGACACTCTACCATTAGACCACGGAGGCGGTCACTGGTTAAGTAAACAGTTATAATTAGGGCTGGGATGACACACCAACTGTGAGATCCGATAAGTATCATGATACCTTGATACCTTGATACCTTGATACCTTGATACCTTACTCCGGTATGTATCACAAATTGCATGTGCACTTCTCTCCGGTGAGTAAGCTATCTTTTTCATAGACAGGATGGCCAAATACCTGGCACACTGACGATTTACAGTTGGTAGTGTCAAGTATGGCACAACAAATGAAAATATTTATGTTCTCACTATCAACTTGCACTACTGATTAGTGTTTAGTGGAACAATTATTAAAGCAAACGTTTAAGGTCAGAATCAATATTATTTACTTCATGTGTGACTGTGATCGATACTTGTATTGAGAAGTAAAAATCGTGATCCACCAATACATCAGTGTATCGTCCCACCACTAGTAATTATGGAGGTAAAATAATTTACAGTTTGTCTTTAATATAAACACATAGACAGTGATAAAAAAAAAAAGCCTTCAAAATTCAAGCTAGTCCACTAGTCTTCTAGTTCGAGACTTCTTAATTGTGCCGAGGACAAATGAAAATCTAACACGGACTAGTACATGTAGTAGCATCTGACAGCTATAATTCTGGACCAGCTCTCAATAATTCAATTTTGCTACAAATTGGGACTGAACAAAATTGACCATGCTGACAGAAAATGAAAACATTGCAAACATTTTTGTCTTGTTCAAGCAGGACTAGCTACACACTGTGAGGACTAGTGAAATAAAAATTCCACTTGCCCTCTGACTAGTCTTTTAAAAAAACGAAATTGAAAGGTTGTAAAAATGCATATTTCTTCAATCGTCACAGGGCACTCCAAAAGATGTTTAGGTTTCTTTTTTTACACCACACTCAGCAATATTCCAGCTATATGACAGCGGTCTGTAAATGATCAAGTCTGGACCAGACAATCCAGTGACTGTCATCACAAGCATTGATCTACGCAATGGAATACGACTTGCATCAACCATGTCACCGAGCCTGACCGCCAGATCCCGTTGGTCACCTCTTACAACAAGCAAGGGTCGCTGAACACCAATTCTAACCTGAATCTTCACGGGGTACACATGTTCAGGTGAAACCCTTGAAATACAATTGTGACAAGAAGAAGAATGATTAGTAACCATCTTCGAACACAGTGAGTGTTGTACCCCCTTCCAGTATCTGTCCCGTGAAGATTCCGGGGTAGAATAGGTCTTCAGCAACCCATGCTTGCTGTAAAAGGCGACTATGCTTGTCGTAAGAGGCGACTAACGGGATCAGGTGGTCAGGCTCACTGACTTACTTGATGCATGTCATCGATCTCAAGTGTGTGGATTGATGCTCATGATATTTTTCACTGGATTGTCTGGTCCAGACTCGATTATTTACAGACTGCCGTCATATAGCTGGAATATTGCTGAGTGCAGCGTTAAACAAGAAACCAACCAACCAACCCTTCCAGTATCTGCAAGATTGAAACTGTTGAGGCTGTATGTAGGCTGAAGATCATGATCCAGGGTGATGTGACAACTCACCTGTGTTGGACTGCCCCTCCTCAGTCTTGCTCCCAAGGTTCTCCTCACTCACACTGATGTCTGCCAGGGATATGAACGAAGGTAACTTCTCTGGAGAAGGGGAGTCTGGATCATTTGTCTGAACACAACTGTCTGCTGTGGTCTTACTGTCACCTGCTTGTGCACTGGCAGCCTCACCACCATCACATGTTGCTGTTTCCTCTGTCGGTGCAGTCACAGTCTTCACTTCTGATCCAGCATGCTTGGAATCATTCACAGAATCACCTTCCGACTTTTCTGCAAGATCTGACATAGCTTCAAGCACTGGCATTGTACTGGGCCCAGATTCGGAATCCATGGTAGTGCCTGTGGCTGTGCTTGAGCTTAAATCTGGCAAATCATCACATGCCATGGTCGAGGCATCAACAGATGTCTTTTGACTAGAGTATTCTTCTGTGTCTGTGGTTCCATCTGCCTTTACTGTCTGTCTGGCAGCAGTATCAGCAGCTGTTGAAGCTGTAGCCTCGTCGGATGCAGTTTCTGCTTCTGTTCCCGTCACACCCTCAGATTGCCTCTTCGCGGAACCATTAGGCCTAAATAAAAAGCACATTAACCATAGAAAACACTGTACCAGCAAATTGCAGATAATAGACATAGAAACATTGCCACAGGTTTCAATAGCTAAGCAGGATATTCAAGCCACCGACACATTATCTTAAACATTGTCAGATAAACACAAAATAGAAAAACTTGATGATTGACATGTTTTGTTTGTTGTTGAACACAGCACTCAGCAATATTCCAGCCATATAAGTCTGTAAATAATCAAGTCTGGATCAGACAATCCAGTGATTGACATCATGAGCATCATCTACGCAATTCGGATACGATGATATGCATCAATCAACTCAGCAATATTCTAACTATATGACGGAAGTCCGTAAATAATCAATTCTGGATAAGACAATTCAGTGATTGATATAATGAGCATCGATCTACATAATTGACATATGATGACATGCATCAACCAGCCTGACCACTCAATAGTCGCCTCTTAACACCAGCATGGGTTGTTGAAGACCAATACCAACACCAATATTCCAGCTCTATCAACGCCAGCCTGTAAATAACTGGCGATGGGCCAGGCAAACCACTGGTTGACAGCATGAGCAATAATCCATGCCATCAAGGGACAATGTCACTCAATCAGACAGGTACAACCTACCCCAGGACCCCATTCCACAAAGCGATCTTTGCACTACGACTATCGTAAGCCTATGTTAAAGTATGGGAGTGACGATCATCTTAGCGCTAAGATCGCTTTGTGGAACGAGACCCAGATGGGCAAATAAAATTCTGTGGACACAAGGGGGCACGGGTGGCCCGGTCGTCTAAGGCGCCGCGATTCGCTGTGCAGAGTTGCGTCCCTTGGGCACGCCAGAAACCTATGATTGTGGGTTCAAATCCCGCTTCGCCTCGATTATGTTTCTAGGTTTGTCAGCACCATACCCGTGTTCGTGGGTTTCACGGAAGTGGTAAACGTCTGAGACCTGCATCACTTCGGGCTTTCCTCCCACATTAAGCTGACATGCCGTGATATAACTGGAAAATTGTTAAAAACGGCGTTAAACCAAACTCACTCACTCTGGGGACACAAAGCTTAACACATTGTAGCCATTGAGGAAATCCTCAGACCATTAACGGCATGCTTAACCTCGTGCCACCCCATACAAGACTGCTGGTATGTTACCTGTTCCTCTGTAGTCTCTTGGCGCTTCTCTTATGCAGCATGGGACACTTCTTGCCTCGTGGACACGACCCTGATTCAGCAAATGCTGGACATCTCAGGGTGTGCTTCTTTGAACACTACAACAGGCACAAAGTTGTCAAGCATTCAATTTCATTATCATTATCTGAAGTCAATACAAAGTTTTGTATCACTGTGAAAAAGTTGACCAATGATTATGTGTAGACAATTCTTAAACACAGAAATTGGAAGCCATTAAATATAATCTTGATAGTTTTCACTGGTTTCCATATGATTGTAAAGATTTCATCTTTTCTTCCACAGGGCAAGACAACTAATGAAACGGACATTAGTGTGGCGAGGTTTGTTACATGACTTAATTAACACAACAAATTAACGTACACATTCACCAACCAACCTGTTCAACCATTATGAATCAATGACAGTTCATATAAATCCTGAAACTATACACTGACATCTCTAAGACAGAATCCAATCCTGGCAAATCTCACCTGCTCCCCGCGTGGACAGAAGCCACGAACAAAGTCCTGGCAAACCTCTGCATCCTTGCTGACCTTGACATGCAGGTAAGGGCAGTCGTCACGGTTGCACAAGCCACGTAAAAAATAGGAACACACTGGCATCTTATCCCGTGACACTTTGTGTGAGAAGGGACAGGATTCTACCTTGCATGTGCCTCTCAGAAACCTGCAACAAGGTGTCACTCATACTGTAGCTCACCTGATCCATGATATAACACAGGCAGCCCCCATTAACTAAACACTACCCAAAACACTTGGGTGACTGTAGGTTTTGATGAAAATAATCTCATTTGAGTTACATTATCTCCAAAATGACCATTCACAACCTAAAACAAATTAATATTATTTGATTATTATTTGGTAGCATATGTGACAATGGCTGTAGCGAGGTCAATATCTAGTGTAAATAACATTTGTCCTATCCGGATAAATTTCGCAATATGATTCACTCAATGGTATTAGCGGAATGTGGTTCACAGTATTGTAACGACTGACAATAATTGTAATGGTTGATATATCGTGTACTTACCGTGTACAGACAGCAACCTTGGTGGGATCATGCTTGTAAGGACATCGCGTTCCCAGCCTGCACCGGCCAAACTTGTTATAGAAGACGCAGTAGCCATTCACAGATTTGGTGTTGTCCTTATGCAGGCTGTGTGTCGCAGCAATGATAACTCGACTCTTCACACGACTAAAGTAGAACACAGTAACACACGGATTAGTACTGAAAGCTCAACCTTGTACCTAGGTCTTACATCTTCCAAAGGCAAGGGAGTTAACTGACTGTAAAAGTCCAGTTTCCACTCCTGTCGAACAAGGTGAATTTCTGTGCCTGATTGTAGCGCCACCAGTGGCTATTACAAGTGATGTCCCTTCCATGTCCCTCCTATTGACCAATCAGATTCCACCTGACATATCACTTGCATTTGCTTTAAGACAAAATTGTGGTACCCAGTGAAGATGATCTGATCAATAATCAAGATCTAAATTGGAATAAAACGGGTCTTACTTCGCAAAGTGTATCAAATCATGTGAGCACCTTGATTAAAAACATGAACAGATTTGGAAAATATCTGTTGACGCTAAGTTGACGGTACACATGCTTTGCAAATCCTGCAATCGACTGAAATCTGCACAGCAGTTTTACGAACCAGATATCGATTTTGTTACGCGATCTTGATTGTACAATGCATAGACTCATTAGTCCAGCCAAATTATAACACCATAATTCCAGCCTAGTTCAGCAAGAGTGGAAACTGGAATTTTATAGTCAGGTAACTCCCTTCGGGAAGATGAGGTCTTGTGATAGGAAAACCTCTTCAGTACACTAGAGTAAAAAACAAGAAAAGTTGTTTTCTCCCCAAGTCTTATATATACTACTCAAAAGAAGCTAAAGAACACCAGAGTTATTGGTAATAACAATAAAATTATCTGTAAAAATAATGATGTGAAGCGGTGTCAACAAAATACTGGTGTTATCACGCTATATGTAACCATGGTAATTTAAGTATATTCAGCATTGTATTAATCCAATATTTCCCAGGACAACCTTACCTAGCCACAGCTCTGGTTCGGACAGTTGTAGATCGAACCAGTGTCCCAGGTTTGGTCTGTATGAATGTGACGCCTCCTATGTCCACACGCTTCACCTCAGCCCTGTGCTGCTTCCTACCTACGGACTTGGTTGGGGACAGGGCTGTAATAGATACATCGGCTTGACACAGTTTTTCACACTTAGCAGTATTTTCAGCCATATTATCAAATCATGGTTGAAATAAAGAGCAGTGATATAAAGAACAACATCCAATGCTGTCACCAAGCCTGGCCAACTAATACCATTTAGTCATCACTAAGTAAGCAATTTAGTGTGGCTAATGTTCAAGAGGGCTAGTTCATGTTCATCAGGGTTTGTTCATGTTCATCAGGGCTAGTTCATGTTCATCAGGGCTAGTTCATGTTCATCATGGCTAGTTCATGTTCATCAGGACTAGTTCATGTTCATCAGGGTTAGTTTATGTTCATCAGGGCTAGTTCATGTTCATCAGGGCTAGTTCATGTTAATCAGGGCTAGTTCATGTTTGTCAGGATTAGTTCATGTTCATCAGGGCTAGTTCATGTTCATCAGGGCTAGTTCATGTTCATCAGGGTTAGTTCATGTTCATCAGGGCTAGTTCATGTTCATCAGGGTTAGTTCATGTTCATCAGGGCTAGTTCATGTTCATCAGGGCTAGTTCATGTTCATCAGGGCTAGTTCATGTTCATCAGGGCTAGTTTATGTTAATCAGGGCCAGTTCATGTTAATCAGGGCTAGTTCATGTTTGTCAGGATTAGTTCATGTTCATCGGGGCTAGTTCATGTTCATCAGGGCTAGTTCATGTTCATCAGGGCTAGTTCATATTCATCAGGGTTAGTTCATCTTCATCAGGATTAAGTCATGTTCATCAGGGATCTCGTTCATGTTCATCAGGGCTAGTTCATGTTCATCAGGGCTAGTTCATATTCATCAGGGCTTGTTCATGTTCATCAGGGCTGGTTCATGTTCATCAGGGCTAGTACATGTTTGTCAGGGCTAGTTCATGTTCATCAGGGCTAGTACATGTTTGTCAGGGCTAGTTCATGTTCATCAGGGCTTGTTCATGTCCATCAGGGTTATTTCATGTTCATCGGGGTTAGTGTATGTTCATCAGGGCTAGTTCATGTTCATCAGGGCTAGTTTCTGTTAATCAGGGCTAGTTCATGTTCATCAGGGCTAGTTCATGTTCATCAGGGCTAGTTCATGTTAATCAGGGCTAGTACATGTTTGTCAGGGCTAGTTCACGTTCATCAGGGCTTGTTCATGTTCATCAGGGTTAGTTCATGTTCATCGGGGTTAGTGTATGTTCATCAGGGCTAGTTCATGTTCATCAGGGCTAGTTTCTGTTAATCAGGGCTAGTTCATGTTCATCAGGGCTAGTTCATGTTCATCAGGGCTAGTTCACGTTGATCAGGGCTAGTTCATGTTCATCAGGGCTAGTTCATGTTCAACAGGATTAGTTCATGTTCATCGGGGATCTCGTTCATGTTCATCAGGGCTTGTTCATGTTCATCAGGGCTAGTTCATGTTTGTCAGGATTAGTTTATGTTCATCAGGGCTAGTTCATGCCCATCAGGGCTAGTTCACGTTCATCAGGGCTAGTTCATGTTCATCAGGGCTAGTTCATGTTCAACAGGATTAGTTCATGTTCATCGGGGATCTCGTTCATGTTCATCAGGGCTAGTTCATGTTTGTCAGGATTAGTTTATGTTCATCAGGGCTAGTTCATGCTCATCAGGGTTAGTTCATGTTCATCAGGGCTAGTTCATGTTCATCAGGGCTAGTTCATGTTCATCAGGGCTAGTTCATGTTCATCAGGGCTAGTTCATGTTCATCAGGGTTAGTTCATGTTCATCAGGGCTAGTTCATGTTCATCAGGGCTAGTTCATGTTTGTCAGGGTTAGTTCATGTTCATCAGGGCTAGTTCATGTTCATCAGAGAGCTAGTTCATGTTCATCAGGGCTAGTTCATGTTCATCAGGGCTAGTTCATGTTAATCAGGGCTAGTTCATGTTCATCAGGGCTAGTTCATGTTCATCAGAGCTAGTTCATGTTCATCAGGGCTAGTTCATGTTCATCAGGGCTAGTTCATGTTCATCAGGGCTAGTTCATGTTCATCAGGGCTAGTTCATGTTCATCAGGGTAAGTTCATGTTCATCAGAGAGCTAGTTCATGTTCATCAGGGCTAGTTCATGTTCATCAGAGAGCTAGTTCATGTTAATGCTAATAGCATGGTTAGTTCATATTTATGAGGAACAGTTCATATTCAACAGGGACATTTCATCATGTTCATATTCATCTGAGCTAGATCATATATTCAATTGGGCTAGGCCATGCTTAGCAGGCCAGGACTGGATCATATTCATATTCAGGACAAGATCATGTCTATCTGGGCTAGTTCATGTTCATCAGGGCTAGTTCATGTTCATCAGGGCTAGTTCATGTTCATCAGAGAGCTAGTTCATGTTAATGCTAATAGCATGGTTAGTTCATATTTATGAGGAACAGTTCATATTCAACAGGGACATTTCATCATGTTCATATTCATCTGAGCTAGATCATATATTCAATTGGGCTAGGCCATGCTTAGCAGGCCAGGACTGGATCATATTCATATTCAGGACAAGATCATGTCTATCTGGGCTAGTTCATATTCATCAGGGTTAAATCATGTTCATCTGACTATTCACCTTTATGTTTATGTCTGTGTCAGCAACATGATCAATACCATCAAATTCAAAGAGTTAAGGTGTAAATACAAAAGAACATTAACATTAGCATATTCAGTTGAATAGTCAAGGGTGTTAAGCAAAGACGATACTACTCACTCTGGTCAATACGCTGCAGACTGCGTCCTGAGGAATCCATACGGAACTTGACGCCCCTCACAGAGATGGTCTTCATGGCAGCTGCATTCAGCTCTGCAGCAAACATGAGTGACATTTATAAGATAGCTAGGCTATAGCTTCCTTATCTGTGGTGTATAAGCCATCTTTTTCATTGACAGGATGGCCAAATACCTGGCACACTGACGATTTACAGTTGGCAACATTTTCACAACTAATTTTTACTAGTAATTAGTGTTTGATGTAACGTTAATTATAGCAAACATTGAAGGTATGAATCGATACTTTATACTCAGTATGCGACTGTGATCGATACTTGTATTGAGAAGTAAACAATATTGATCCAGCGATGCATCAATGTAACGTCCCACCACTAGTTATATCACAGCACTTCAGTTTGATGTGGGAGGAAAGCCAAAAGTGATTCAGGACTCAGACATTTACCACTTTGGTGAAGCAAACGAGCATAGGTATGGCGCTGACAAACCTAGAAACAAAATGGGGGCAAACTGGGATTTGATCGCACAATCATAGGTTTCTGGCGTGATGCAAAACTGCTCAGCGACACCATACCTATGCATTTCTCCAAATTTTCAATTTGTAGGAACATTCTTTTCATAATGCATGAGTCCCGCGGTGCTCCTCTCCCGTAGACAACCTCTAAACACACACTCACGTTTGACAACAACTGATTTCTTCTTGCTGATGAGGGGCAGGGCTGTACTCCCCTCCCCTGCTGATGGAGCCTGCTGAGGGGGTAAAGCCTTGGTCAGAGAAGTACTGGAAGACTTGTACAGTATACCATTGATGAGGACATGTCTAGAGGAGCTTGGCCTTGGGCTGTCTTCAATAGCAAGTCTTTGCACAGTGGTCTTTGGCTTTGGGCTGTCTTCAATAGCCAGTCTTCGAACAGTGGCCTTTTGACGTCGATCTAACTTCAGTCTGTGAAAAATAGTGAGTGAGTATGGTTTTACGCCTCTTTTAGCGATATTACAGCAATATCTCGGCAGGGGACACTGGAAAATGGGCTTCACATATTGTACCCATGTGGGGAATGGAACCCAGGTCTTCGACATGAAGAGCCTAGGCTACCCCCACCGCCCGCTAGAGAAACTTAGACTTTTTTGTTCATATTAACCACAATGAGCGAGTGAATAGGGAGGGCTTTAAGCCACTTTTAGCAATATTCCAGCAATATCACAGCGGGGACACCAGAAATGGGCTTCACACATTGTGGGAATCGAACCCATGTCTTCAGCGGGACAAGCAAACACTTTAACCACTAGGCTACCCCACTACCCCTCACATGGTATCAGGTTTTTATTGTTGTGGCATGATGGTCAGAAAGAAAGTCTTCATATGACTAGGAACTGTGGAGTCTCAGGACACACTACCAGAAAAATGTGGTTGCCTGCAAACTCTTTTGAACATCATGACATTTAGACTGCCTGAATCATGTAGTTTTTGATAAGGAAGCTCTGAGCAATGGAACCATACCAAAAATATAGTTCTTCTTTCTTTTGCTGTCCAAATTGCAACCCTTTGTCATGTAACAGCAAAGATTAACAACCGGAATAGTGATAACATATATCATGAGCACACACCCTAAAACCTGAAATACTACTAGCCCTCAGAATAGCTTTAACATCAAAATGAATAGTTCTTACTGAGAGGATCTTGACAAATTCTATTCTTCAACATAGTCACCATTAATATATCTCACTATCACCACTCTGCAATGGTGAGTCCTTACCGAGACACTCGATGCTTGTTGGATCTCTTCAATAGCTGTAACCTCTTCTGCAAAAGGTTTTTCATGGTCAAACGAGACTTGTGATTCCATGACAACCACTGGTGCTTCTTCCAGACCCGTGATGTAGACTGTGGATACCTGTCTGTGAAACCTGCAGAGTCAAAGTTCAGTATGTTCAGGGCAAAATGAGCCTGAGGTGTAAAGTTTCATAAATTCTTAAATCCAAATATTTGTTTGTTTTGTTTGTTTTGTGACAGCAGTCGGTAAATAATCAACTCTGAACCAGACAATCCAGTGATTGACATCATGATCATCGATCTACATGAATGGGACACAAAGACATGCATCAACCAAGTCAGTGAGCCTGATCATCCAATTCGTTAGTCGTCTCTTTTGACAAACATAGCTGCTTTTATGGAAAACATGGGTTGCTGAAGACCTACTCAAACCCCGATCTCACTGGCATTAAATTCCAATAAATATGCTGCATGTGACTGGGTATTTCACTCTAAACAAATTGTGTGTATTCCCTTTCTTTAAAAATAATACTGCTGATGCCATCCACAATGATGCAGCGTAAGGCTGAATAAAACTACTTCATCAAAAAGTTGTGTCCATCATTAAATAGGTAGCACAATGTATATGAATCATATTTGTTTTTATTGTGAATGTTACCACTGTCAGTGTCAATTTAAAGCTGCCAATGTGACATCATGGCAACACTGCATCACAGTATGTGTATACAGTTGCATTGTGACATCATGACATAGCATGCATAGGGACGTCATAATATAATCTGTAACATTAATTACTTCCCCCTTAAGCATGTTAAGATAAAGCTGAAACATGTAGAGAATAATCTGTGTCATGTGATTATTTGGTGAACTTCTTCAGATATATATATGTACTGTTTTCGTATTGCCATCCTGTCTTCAGCATGTTCAGTGCTTTTGTGTTAATGATTAAATAAGCAATATGTGAAGTGTTTATTTCAGATGCATTTATTTATAAGAATTGACATCAATATGTTTTAGCATTCGTTTATCTCTAAACGTAAAAACCAGTGTGCATAAGGGCTGTTACGATTCACTCGCGTATTCGGTGAATCGAACCGTATCCATTCATGAATTGAATTTGTTATTCGTGGCCACTAGAATCGAATATTTATGTATATGCAAGCATGTGCATTTACATAAAAATATCAATAAGAACATATTATATGCATAGATTTCTTCAAAAGAAAACACTCTTATACTATTTAATTTGACAGTATTGTGGTCACTGGTCATTGTCACATTTGAGCAGATACTAGAACCTGGATAAGTGCATTATATAAATGTATAATATATTAATCATTAACAAACCATGTCAAATAATGTATGCTGTTATTGCTTCACTGAATATAACAAATAATACATCAGCTTCTCACTTATTGTATTCGTGAATTATTATTCATATTCATTATCCTATATTCGTGATACAAATCGTATTCGCCTCATAGTGTATTCGTTGCAGCCCTAGTGTGCACACGTTGTGTACATCCTTTACACAGATTTACACAGTGTGCACAACATTTTTTTTTACGTTTATCATGTTTATACCTCCATAAATGCAAACTATATTGAGGTCAATTCTTAAGTAACTCAACGATATCAAAAGACACACAGCATTATTTTGATGATTCAAAGGGCTTTGAGATTTCACTTCTGTATATATTGTTCTTTTCTCAGTGTGTTTCACTGTCCAACTTTGATGTGCCACTTAAAGAACCTACCTCTGGCATGCTTGTATGATGAAGGTGGATGTGTGCTCCACGGTGCAGCCCTCTGCTGATAGGTCTGCCACACCCTTGGGGCTCCTCTCCACATGGAGCGCCGGGGGTCCCTGTACATGGTGGGTCGAGTGGCATACCGGGACATGTACCGGGGTGCATAGTAGTTGGGTCTGTATCGAGTAGGCTGGATCATGTATTTGCTGTTGAAGAAGTTCATCTGTATGCTTCTGCTACCAAACATGTCTGACTTTTCTATCTTATACTTGCTGACAATAGTGTGAGCAGTAGCATGACCAAGGCCTGGCACTGCCTTCTGTAGCTTGTACTTGCTCATCATCACCTCTGATGTGTGCACAGACTGCTGGGTCCTACGAGTCTGGGAAGCTCGGACTGACTGCTGGATGCTGTTACCTATCACCTGAGACCGCACACTATTCATCTCAAACCTGGTGTTGATGACTGCTGGGGAGACATGTCTACGTAACGGCTTCACTAAACCGGAACCTGTCAGAGCTGCTGTGCGATGAGAAACCTGACGTCCAGCATGGAGGTTGCTCCAAACTGGTGCTGCACTTATTGGCCTCCCAACCACCTGTTGGCTGTTCATATTCCTCACAAACTGGACAGGCTGACCAGCTCCATATCTTGACCACACTTTGTTTGTCTGGGCCATTGGGTGACCCAGAGCAGGGGAGACATGCACTGCTGGAATTCCAGGAGTTGGATTCACCATCGCTGTCTGCATCCTCATTGCCATTGCCCCAGGAGTAGCAATGGACTGAATAGCAACCTGAGGCTGGAAGGCAGCTGGCTGCTGCGGATGCTGTTGCGTCTGTGTGTTCTGAGAGGTATTCAGAAGCTGATTTTGCAGGGCTTGGATCTTAGTTTGTGTCTTTTGTAATTCCTCCATTAATACTGCCATCTGCTGCATTTTAGGTTCTCCATTAGAATTGGAGGCTGATGCAGAATCCCCAGGTCTTGACGGAACCAGGGCAGATCCAAGGTAACCTGGTGTGAGTACATCCTGGGAGGTGGTGTTCGTCTGTAAAGACTGCATTTGTGAGGAAAGCATGCCAGTGCGTCCTGCTTGTGATGTCACCACACATATATCTGCATTGTGACGAGACATCTGCATAAAATTAGCACCAATCTTTGCATCTTGTGGAATCCTCTGCCTTTGTAACACATCCTGCTGAAGCATCCGAGCATGAGACAGTAGTTGTTGCTGCTGCTGCTGCTGAACAATAGGTGGTCCTAGCACACTCCTCACATTACTTGAACTCACAGACATATTTTGATTGCTTAGCTGGTTTGAATTTGTCTGATACACTGTCCTGGAATTGTTCATTTGTGTTGGTCTGTTAAAGAGAGAAGTCCCCACACCTCTGTGGGCCTGGGGAGAGACAACAGGTGCTGAGTTGGCTAGTGGGAACCGCACATTACCTGCTCCCATCAACACACGGGATGGTGTTGCAACAGCAGGTGTGCGGTTAGAAACACCGTACGGGTAACTTGTAGGAAATCTTGGTCCAATATTGAAAGAGTTGTTCCATTGAGGCCTTATCTGACCTCTGACCGGCCCATAGCTTGGTGAGGTTTGAGATGGATGTCTCATGGTAGGTGCAGAAGGCAGTCCTGGGGTACGAGCAGAATTTATCAGATCTGTAATAAGCAAAATTAAATATTTAGCCAGTTGATATTTCTTTCTGTCTGTGATATTTTCCATATGTTAGCATAGAAATAAGAGCATATACCTATGTTAAACATGCTTTACATAAACACTTACCACTACTTAATTTTTAAATGAAGTCCCTGGTCTAGCATTCCTAAGCCCAAATCCAATTCTTTTCAATAGGAGATGAAAAAAAAAATATGTACACCTTACCAGTAATGAAACATACTGGTAATACATGACCATACACAGATCATGTTGAAGTCATTGATGTTACAAAATTAATTCACTCAGTGACCATGATGACTCAGGGCCCATAAACCTTCATCAAGCTTTTGCCTAATTTAGTATTTGTAAATATCAAACATAACACCAAGAACAAAAATTCTCTCACTTTACTACTCCTGAATAGAATATTAAATCAGCCTTCCAAAACCTTTTTAATGCGAGAAAATTAAACGTGTCCCTATAGTAATATGGTATGGGATTATATCATCAGATCATAGGTTTTCAGACATCATATGTTTTCTGACAGCCATGTTTATCACAGTTACTCATGCTATAACAGGGGGTGTAGCATCACACAGACATTGCAGACACCCAGATGATGGCTTGTTTTTAAGAGAAAGTTGTCATTTATAAGTGAATGAGATGTTTAATAGTTGTTCATGTGATTAGTGAGAAAACTATCAATGTTTCTTAAGCATCCGAAAACCCATAACAGGGATATTCATTTTGAACAAGGTTCAGTGATAAAAATGGAAACATGTTTCCATTTAAGATAAAATTTACAACAATTTCAACTATGCTAGTAACACTTTTGACATTTCATTATATTTTCTTGGAGGAGAGTCGGGCGTGGCGTACCTCCAGCATGTTTGCAATAAATGGCTAGACCCTAGTCGACCTACGATAAGTTGTTTCATACTTACGAAACTAAATTGGGTTTACGTTTTACAAGGCAAAATCTACTGATGTGTCTGTAACTCAGAATCTCGACCAATGTAAGAGCCTTGGTAATAATGAGCGTTTCTTGGCTACAGAATGCGCAGCTAATCAAGACATAGCGTAAACAATGACATTGAGGACTGTGATCAATGGTGAACACCTGCACAACCATGTGACCATGATTAACTCGTTGCAGTACGAGGACTCGTGCATGTATTAACGTAGTGTACTTACAATCAGTAATAGGAAATCGATATAATGTACTAACTTGTTAAAAATGCAATTTGTTGACGCAATTTGTCTGCTTCTGAGGGAACAGCGGCCATTTTGACATATCTTCACTTACATCAATAACAAATGCTGATAACGCTGAAATTATCATATTGTATCGTTTACTTCATATGCAAAATATATATCGTTTCTAAAATAAATGCTAAATATTTAAACGCATGTACAATAACTGAGACGTACTTTAGTCCAGCGGTAATATTATGTTGCATACCGTAAGCGATCTTGAGTATTTCCAAGTAATGTTGCAAGAATACCCAAAAGTTAAATTTAGAAACAGAAAGTGAGAAACTTCCTCATCAGATTCATTGTCGGACTAGAGTAGTAGTAATTGCATATACGTTGACGTTTACGTGTTGTTTTCATACCGTTATAATGGATCTTGATGCATTAAGCAAAGAGTTTAAAGATTGGAAAACCGCAAGCAACTCGCATCTGGATCTGGTTGATGTTGACAATACGCCGAGGAGACTCAATTTTCAAGTTCAGAATACGGATACAAGATTTTATATTGATGTCACAATTGATGACAATCAGACGAAATGGGTAATTACATATCTACTGAAAGGTTTATATAATGTTTGTCAACATTGATTCGCTAAATCCCTCTAATCAGATTAGAGTCATAATATTATTCTTTAGGCCTTGGTTTATATCACAGTTCGATGTAGTAATGAACAAATATTGCTTTCAATGATTTGAATGTCAGTCCAGTTTCAGATTATCATTGCTGGCTAACCTATATATCCAGATCTGAGTATCAAAATCATGATCACAATCATTATTATAGTTGTTGGCATGATAGGGTCATTGACATCTCAGGTACCACAGAAGTGTACAGGGGTACTGTTCTGTATACACAATGCAGTATTGTTTGTTTGTTAGTTGTTACCACCACACTCAGCAATATTCTAGCTATATGACGGAGGTCTGTAAATAATCGAGTCTGAACTAGACAATCCAGTGATTGACATCATGAGCATAGATCCACGCAGTTGGGATACGATGACATGGATCAACCAAGTCAGCGAGCCTGACCACATAAAGCAGTAATGTACCCTAGCTTGACAGTTCGAGTCCAGCAGAATCTGGCATGTTTTTAACTCAGTGTCATATGCAGTATGTAGCAGGTCCGTTGTTCATTTTGTTCCCCCTACAAGAAATACTATTTTATTTTAAAGGAAACAACACTCCAACTTTGAAAGTATTGAAATATGGATCAGCTTTTTCTTCGCGGATTCAAAGTTTGCCTGTTATGAAATGTAATCTCGACTGGTTTGACTTGTGTTTAACACAATTCTGGCTGCGCTGCATGAAGCAACATCTATCCTAGAGGATCCTTGTTGCCTTTTTGGAGGTTTGTCATACTTGTTTTATCATACACATCATGGCTCAATCTGACAGTGATGTTAGATCACAGGTTGATCAGGTTGTGGATTTCATCCATCAGCTTGATCCCTTAGTCCGTACTAGCGTACTCACCCGTCTAGCAGATGACGCTAATCTACATCCGCCTCAGACCACTTATGTAGCTGATGTTGGGTCTGGGTTTGGTTGGGTTTCAGCTGCATGTGCTTCCACCTCCTGTGGATAGCAAAAGAGTTGTTGCCCCACGTTTGGGCGCCAATGTAGCGGCCATAAAATTTGTGATGGGATGTGATGGGATTCGAACCACGGACCTTCTGATCCGAGGTCAGACGCCTTGTCCACATGACCAAAGAGGTTAACCCCATCAGCAAGCTGACAAGGTAAGGATGTCATCTGTGGGACGACTCCATGCCCTGCTACAGGATGATCAAAGAGTGAGACGCTGTATATCATAACACTGACATGTGTTTTTGTTGTTGATTAATGCATACAGGGCTTGAAAGGGTGAAGCTTTCAGTTAACATCATATTATGTACGGTAAAAGCTACATACTATCCCTTTAGCATGTTCAGAGAATTCAGGTAAACAAACAGGTGATAACAAACTTGGGCAATAAAAATGTGAAATTTGAGAAAAATGATCACTAGACATGATAATTTTCCATTTAAATTGTTTTTATGATCTGCCAGGCATTGTTTTATATGCAGAAATATAGATTACTGTGTGTATTTTCTCTTTACTAAGCCAGATATAGCAATCAGCTGTACACACATTTTCTACCAATCTACCAGCACTTCGGTTAAAAAAATACCTAATAATATAACTTCAAGGAATTTTGATGTAAATGATCAGATCAATTGTATCTTAAACTTTTAACAAAAATTATTTTATCAGAAATAATATGTTCCAATACTGAGTTATTTTAGTTGCAGCTTTTGCTATATATATTTATAATAATAATAACCATAAGTCTGGCACTTTGGACATTGTTCACATTGTTGGAACAACTGATTGCTATTGCAGGATATGTTTTACGTAAGGAACAATTTGATCAGTCACCACTAAGGCCTCCCATGTTCTTGCTACAGCATGTGAATGAAAAGAAAGTTTGAATATCGTAATTAGAATCAACAAAAGTTAAATGTATAATCATGATAATATCGGGCAGTTACCCAATCTCATTAAAATCAGATCTTAGTTCTTGCTATCGCTTAACAAAGATCTGAGGACATCCCATTAGGGGTCGCGTCAGAACGACCTTTCATCCAACCAATCAGAGCACCGCTTACCAGATCATGAAAGTGACAGTCGGAATGTGTTTTCTAATCATGCAACCACGATATATTTCGGTATTCCGAACGACAGTTACCGGTTTAAGATTATCCATACAATCTGTGCCATCTATAAGCCATTCCAGAATGTTCTTCTTATCTGTTTTAAAATTTTTAATCGAGAATACGTCAAAATATGTTTCGAAGCGTAGTTGCCAGTTTGAAACTAGTGTCGTAAAGCTCGAGAAAGCTGCCTTCTGATTGGCCAATGTCGATTTGTTGTCAGTCATTTCATTGGTCGGTCAAAATTCGCGAAAGGTCGTTCTGACATGACCCGTAATGGAATGTCCTCAGATCTTTGTTTGTGGTAGCGAAAACTAAGACGTGATTTTAATGAGATTGGGCAGTTACCTTGTTCGAGGAATGTTTCGTCAATATCCGCAAAAAGGAACAATATCCCATACATCTGAAGCTGTACAAAGAAACTTGTTTCGATGTCACATGTTTTTGTAACAATCTAATAGTTTAGAATATACATATACGGCATAATTGGGATATTTCAATCTGTGTTCTTCTCTCAACTGATCACATAAGTTTGTTTCAGGTGTCTTTTACATAAGCATGATAAGTGTCATGTCTCATTGGTCAGCTGTGAGAGCACATGTAACAACTCTGTTCATGATGTCCATGGTTCTTTAAAATAATCTATTGAGTTAGATAACAATGAGCAATCAAACAACATGTTATCAACTAATCCTCTGAACAAAGTATGTTGTTTTTACATAGGCACTTCAAGCCCAGATATGGGTGTATTCTGTCTGCTTTGGTAAACCTACATGTATAAACACTTACTTTTTCAAAATCCACTGTGCAAGATTACAGTAAGTAACATGATTAATCAATCAACATATTATCGGTTAATCCTTTGATCAATGTTTTTTGCAACTCAACTGAAAGTTATTCTTTTGCTGCGCTGCCATGTGCATATTACATAACATGTAATATATTCACTATATCAGACCTGGATTTATAACCCAATCTATGATTAAATAATTACCCAGGACACAAGTAATGTCAAATGGGAACCACTGATTGCAATATTCTTGACATCCTCAGAGGCAAGGGTGAACATTATTGAGTTATTTTGCATCGTCTTTGTCATGTAATCTGAGTGGTTCTAGCACTAATTATAACTGTAATATAACTGTCACCTCTGAGTATGGATTCTGACGTACTGCAATTATTGAGTGAGTGAGTGAGTTTGGTTTAACGTCGCTTTGAACAGTATTCCAGTTATATCCCGGCGTGTCAGCTTAATGTGGGAGGAAAGCCCGAAGTGATGCAGGTCTCAGATGTTTACCACTTCGGTGAAACCCACGAGCACGGATGATGGTGCAACTCTGCACAGCGAATCGCGGCGCCTTAGACGACTGGGCCACCCATGCCCCCCCTGCAATTATTGAATTGACCAGAATTTGGCATAGAGGAGATCTGCATAGGAACCTGTTTGGTACACTACCAAAATAGACTTGTCCTGACCTCAGTGCCAGGCAAGGGTATATTTCTGTTCTCCAATTTTGGTTAGGGTTCATCCGTGTATACAGAAAGGTACCTGGGGTTCTGAAGTACCTGTGACACAACAACCCCAGCAGAGATTATGTACCAATCTTCCATACAAATGGTTTCGCAGCATGCTGTGTATTAGGAGTGACTATTGGTCTGGAAAATCACTATTGCGATAACTATTGATCATGTTGATATTGAAAGAAACTATTGCGATAACTATTGATATTGCAAGCAACTATTGCGATAAATATCGATAGTTTTCAGTGTATCATTTTAGATGGATTTTAGAGTTGAATTAAACCTTGGAACTGAAGTTTCCTTTGAATGTGAAAATTAAGTTTGAGATATGACTGATTTGTTATTTCTTTACCCTAATAATTTAAGAAAAAGAAACTTCCACATTACCTTGTGTAAATTACTACCACTCATGATCAAAAGGAAAACAAATTTGAACAGCATTGCATGTATTTTATTGCAACTGTAAAACTATGGTAAATACAATCGAAACTATCGATATTCCAACTGAAATCGATACTATTGATCGATACAACTGATTTAACAATTGATTTATTGACTTTAAGTGCTTACCAATAGCAATATATCGATATTTCGATTTATTGTGACACCCCTACTGTATATCCATGCTATGAGCACCTTCATGACATTATACTTAAAACATGCATAGATACTGTATTGTAGGAGAGGTTAATTCTCTTCCTGTGTGTTTAACATGAGTAAGATGTTCCTAGGTGATTGTGATGAGCAGTGAGTTAGCCAGAAACAAATAACTCTTAAGATAATTCTAGAACATAGTCATTATTTTATCAGTTCACAATTTTTTTTAGGACCCTTTCCTCTATAATGTTTATTATACCAAAAATGAATTGGTCATTTCTGCATGGGTTGGAATTGATTTGTGTGGAAAGAATGTGGTACTGCAAAAATTTGGTGAAAAGATTGAAAAATCGCAAAAACACAAACACGTAAGAGCCTGGCGCCGAAATACACCAACATGACATGCACATGCAAAATCACTTGTTGGGCTATAAAAACGGATTTCATTTGAATGCCATCACAATTTTACAGCAAGTGAACAGCAAAAACATGCCACAACTGATGGAAGCCCAACGCAACCATGCCATTGGCCAACTGCAAACATGAGAATCATCTTCAGCTGTATCCAGATTTTGCACATAGCACCAAGCACCATTACAAGACTATGGAGCCGTTATCAGACATAAGGGACAACACGTGACCTTCCCACATCCGGTCGACCCCGTATCACTACTTGAGCACAGGACAGATTCATAAGGCAATGTCACTTATGTGAAAGAACCACCACAGCCACCTTAGGCATTGCAGCAGTACCAGAATTGCTTAGGATATCAGCCCAGACAGTTAGGAACCATTTACGCACTAAAGGTATTCGCGCTAGAATACCAATTTGAGGTGTCATTGAATGACCTGCATCATCGGCTGCGATATCAATGGTGTCAAGGTCACAGAGTATGACCACTGGTAATGGAGACAAGTTTTGTTGAGTGACGAGTCACATTTTATGCTTCACCATGCGGATGATAGACATCCTGTTCAAAGGCATCACTGGGAACGTTATCCACGAAACTGCATGCAGAAAGTGGATACATTTGGTGGTGGTAGTGTGATGATGTGGGCGGCCATCTCCTACACTGGTAGAACAGACTTGGTGCAAGTTCTGGGGAATTTAACAGCAAAACTTTACACAGATGAGATTCTTCGGCCACACGTCTTTCCCATTATGTGACAAGCGAACGTCATTTTCCAAAAAGACAACACCAACCTCACAGGGCAAGACTGACAACATCGATTTTGAGGAATCTCAACATCCAGGCCCTGCCATGGCCATCCAGGTCTCCAGAATTAAACCCAATCGAACATTTATGGGATACACTGGATCAACAACTGAGAGCCTGTCAGCAATGGCCACAGAACATCCGACAGTTGAATGGGTGAACAAATACCCAGGCAACAATTCAGGATCTGATTGCCATGCCCGATGACCTTTTCCATATGGAACCTGGTTCAATGACAATGAAGTGTACGAGTCTCATCAGGACATAACTGAATAACAGACATGAAGTAGTAACATATGACGTCACAATACCAAGGTGACAATGGACAAATAACTTACGCCTTTACATTTAACTTAGGCGCGTATTTATGAATGAAATGTTGCTCTTTTTTAAACAATGTAGGTTCAAGATCAAAATTTAGCTTATATAGCGGAAAAACTAAAATGTTACCGTTTTGGAAAGTATATCGGAAAGACAGAACTTAAATTAAAAAGAAGAATGAATCTTCACCATTCACAAATAAAGCAGCCACACAACCGCACGATTCCACTCAGTGAACATTTAGAAGCATGTGGAAACTTTTTAGTTTTCCCGCTTTATAAGCTAAATTTTGATCATGAACCTACCATTGCCTACATTGTTTCATGTGATAATTTAGTAGTCTGGGTCTAGCAGACTTGTGTGAATTTCGAAGGCCACACATGGGATAGTTCTTGTCAGTGGTCAGATTTGAAGACATATTTCCACATCAATAGTCATGACACATGACCATGAACCTGATTAACAGTGAAGTAGCCCATTGGTACACACACTTAAAGGTTTTTCCTAAATGATTACAACTGTGGCTTTATGGTTATGTTTCAGCATGTGTGGAGTGACAGCGACTCAGTCTTGGTGAAGCTGCAGCCAAGTATAGAGGATGTGACAAGTGGTAAAGCGATGTCATTGGCTGATATTCTGACCAGCTGTTCTAAAGACTTGGAACAGGTAAGCTGGACTTGGCTTCAGAGTCTGGTCTTTCACTATGATGTGATACACATTCAGTTCTAACAGCTAATCACAATATGTGCCAATTCGAAATTACAGGACTTTCCTACCCCACTCATGCTCATGTGTCCTACATCCCACAGTGAGGTTGGCTATCTTCCTCATCATGCTCATGTGTCCTATATCCCACAGTGAGGTTGGCTATCTTCCTCATCATGCTCGTGTCCTATATCCCACAGTGAGGTTGGCTATCTTCCTCATCATGCTCATGTGTCCTATATCCCACAGTGAGGTTGGCTATCTTCCTCATCATGCTCGTGTCCTATATCCCACAGTGAGGTTGGCTATGTTCCTCATCATGCTCATGTGTCCTATATCCCACAGTGAGGTTGGCTATGTTCCTCATCATGCTCATGTGTCCTATATCCCACAGTGAGGTTGGCTATCTTCCTCATCATGCTCATGTGTCCTATATCCCACAGTGAGGTTGGCTATCTTCCTCATCATGCTCATGTGTCCTACATCCCATAGTGAGGTTGGCTATGTTCCTCATCATGTTCATGTGTCCTATATCCCTCAGTGAGGTTGGCTATGTTCCTCATCATGCTCATGTGTCCTATATCCCACAGTGAGGTTGGCTATCTTCCTCATCATGCTCATGTGTCCTATATCCCACAGTGAGGTTGGCTATCTTCCTCATCATGCTCATGTGTCCTATATCCCACAGTGAGGTTGGCTATGTTCCTCATCATGCTCATGTGTCCTATATCCCACCGTGAGGTTGGCTATCTTCCTCATCATGCTCATGTGTCCTATATCCCTCAGTGAGGTTGGCTATCTTCCTCATCATGTTCATGTGTCCTATATCCCACAGTGAGGTTAGCTATGTTCCTCATCATGCTCATGTGTCCTATATCCCTCAGTGAGGTTGGCTATGTTCCTCATCATGCTCATGTGTCCTATATCCCACAGTGAGGTTGGCTATGTTCCACATCATGCTCATGTGTCCTACATCCCACAGTGAGGTTGGCTATCTTCCTCATCATGCTCATGTGTCCTATATCCCACAGTGAGGTTGGCTATGTTCCTCATCATGCTCAATTGTCCTATATCCCACAGTGAGGTTGGCTATGTTCCTCATCATGCTCATGTGTCCTACATCTCATAGTGAGGTTGGCTATCTTCCTCATCATGCTCATGTGTCCTATATCCCACAGTGAGGTTGGCTATGTTCCTCATCATGCTCATGTGTCCTATATCCCACAGTGAGGTTGGCTATGTTCCTCATCATGCTCATGTGTCCTATATCCCACAGTGAGGTTGGCTATCTTCCTCATCATGCTCATGTGTCCTATATCCCACAGTGAGGTTGGCTATGTTCCTCATCATGCTCATGTGTCCTATATCCCACAGTGAGGTTGGCTATGTTCCTCATCATGCTCATGTGTCCTATATCCCACAATGAGGTTAGCTATGTTCCTCATCATGCTCATGTGTCCTACATCTCATAGTGAGGTTGGCTATCTTCCTCATCATGCTCATGTGTCCTATATCCAACAGTGAGGTTGGCTATGTTCCTCATCATGCTCATGTGTCCTATATCCCACAGTGAGGTTGGCTATGTTCCTCATCATGCTCATGTGTCCTATATCCCACAGTGAGGTTGGCTATCTTCCTCATCATGCTCATGTGTCCTATATCCCACAGTGAGGGTGGCTATCTTCCTCATCATGCTCATGTGTCATACATCTCATAGTGAGGTTGGCTATCTTCCTCATCATGCTCATGTGTCCTATATCCCACAGTGAGGTTGGATTTGTTCCTCATCATGCTCACGTGTCCTATATCCCACAGTGAGGTTGGCTATCTTCCTCATCATGCTCATGTGTCCTATATCCCACAGTGAGGTTGGCTATCTTCCTCATCATGCTCATGTGTCCTATATCCCACAGTGAGGTTGGCTATGTTCCTCATCATGCTCATGTGTCCTATATCCCACACTGAGGTTGGCTATCTTCCTCATCATGCTCATGTGTCCTATATCCCACAGTGAGGTTGGCTATCTTCCTCATCATGCTCATTCAGTAGATTCAGTCCCCACCACTATAAAAACATACAACTTTATCGATAACAACTTCTGGTTTATTACATATAGCAATGTTTCGATGTAGATTTTTACACCATTATCAATAAAGTTGTACGTTTCCTTATTTACTCACCAACTTCTAGAATGTCAATCAAACAGTCACCACCAGTATGTATAACAACAATGAGGTGACTAACAGGATCGGAGGGTCAGGCTCGCTGATTTGGTTGATGCACATCATTTTATTGTGTAGATCATTGCTTAGATGTCAATCACTGAATTATCCAGTCCAGACTCGATTATTTACAAATTACAGACTGCCATCATATAGCTGGAATATTGCTGAGTGCTGCGTTAAACAAAAAAAAAATAACCAACCAACTTCTAGAATGTCAATCAAACAGTCACCACCAGTATGTATAACAACAATGAGGTGACTAACAGGATCGGAGGGTCAGGCTCGCTGATTTGGTTGATGCACATCATTTTATTGCGTAGATCATTGCTCATGATGTCAATCACTGAATTATCTTGTCCAGACTCGATTATTTACAGACTGCCGTCATATAGCTGAAATATTGCTGAGTGCTGCGTTAAACAACAAACAAAACTGTACCATGATATCCCTTGTTTGGTGCCTTGCAATAATCAAGTTATCATTGTGAAACATGCCTGACTTACAAGTTGTGTACCCATTAATACCAGGCTGAGGATGACCAAGACAGGGAGAAGGAGGAGGAGGAGGAGGAGGTAGAAGAAGAGGATGAAGATGACGATGAAAACGATGATTACTACATTGAGTCTGAAGAGTTCCTGGATGACATTCAGGCTACCATCAGCACTGGTCATGAGGAGGGCAGGTGGGTGGAGCACATCCTGATCCATGAAGGGAACACTCGGTGATCTAGTGGATAGAGCATCTGCCCGAGAGCGGAAGGTCGTGGGTTCAATCCCCGCCCGCGTCAAACCTTAAGACGTTAAAAATTGGTACTTGTTGTTACCCTGCTTGGCACTCAGTATTAAGGCTGTAAAACAAGGACTGGTCTGCTTGGAGTCAGTATACTGTCTGAGTGATTTATTCATGTTAAATTCTTTGGATTTCTTTCAGTGATGTGGAATTGGAAGATGGACCTGGATTCTTTGGTCCAATGAACACAGCAACAAGCACTGCCATACAAAGACTTAAGAGAGGTAGGCCTTGCACATTCTCAAAACTTGTATAGTTGAAGCTGAAAACCGTTAAAGTGGAAATAACATAAAAATGTGGCAAAAACGACCCTGTGTCAGTGTGAAATAGTTCGTCAAATCCAGGGTGAAGACCATTTAAGAGCCACACTTGGTAATTTATTACATATTCATTAAATATTATTATCAAAAGTGAGTCCCAAGGATGCATATCCACAGAAAGAAACGTCTGTCAATCATTCATTATTTGTTTCAGATTTAAAGAATATTCTCAAAGTTGGTCCTCAGTATGGCATTGTGGCAAAACCAAGGGGAGACAACCTATTTTTGTGGGTGAGCTGAACAGTAATTTACATCTGTAATGCAAGTGCCACTAAGAGCATGATTGTTTAGAGGAGGCGGTGAGGGACACTTCTTATTTTGTTTGCTTTTAATTAATTTGGATGGTTGGCCATTTCGGCAGCGATTGGAGATAGAGAAACATGTGGATGATGGGCTGTGGCTGGAGCTTGTGGAAGTGATTGAAAAATGTTAAAGTTTGGATGATTAGCATAATGCTTGGAGAAGGCTTGGATGATGAGATGTGAATGGACATTGTAGAAGAGGTGGATGGTTGGTAAGGCTTGGAAGTGGAGGTAGGGGTGGAGACTTGCTAGTTGTTTTAGATGTAGGAAGGAGTGGATGGTTGGTTGAAGATGGAGGGAGGTAGGGATGGAGACTTGCTAGTTGTTTTAGATGGAGGAAGGAGTGGATGGTTGATTGAAGATGGAGGGAGGGAGGGCTGGAGACTTGCTAGTTGTTTTAGATGGAGGAAGGAGTGGATGGTTGATTGAAGATGGAGGGAGGGAGGGGTGGAGACTTGTTAGTTGTTTTAGATGGAGGAAGGAGTGGATGGTTGATTGAAGATGGAGGGAGGGAGGGCTGGAGACTTGCTAGTTGTTTTAGATGGAGGAAGGAGTGGATGGTTGATTGAAGATGGAGGGAGGGAGGGCTGGAGACTTGTTAGTTGTTTTAGATGGAGGAAGGAGTGGATGGTTGATTGAAGATGGAGGGAGGGAGGGGTGGAGACTTGTCAGTTGTTTTATATGGAGGAAGGAGTGGATGGTTGGTTGAAGATGGAGGGAGGGAGGGCTGGAGACTTGCTAGTTGTTTTAGATGGAGGAAGGAGTGGATGGTTGATTGAAGATGGAGGGAGGGAGGGGTGGAGACTTGCTAGTTGTTTTAGATGGAGGAAGGAGTGGATGGTTGGTTGAAGATGGAGCGAGGGGTGGAGACTTGCTAGTTGTTTTAGATGGAGGAAGGAGTGGATGGTTGATTGAAGATGGAGGGAGGGAGGGCTGGAGACTTGCTAGTTGTTTTAGATGGAGGAAGGAGTGGATGGTTGGTTGAAGATGTAGGGAGGGAGGGGTGGAGACTTGTTAGTTGTTTTAGATGGAGGAAGGAGTGGATGGTTGGTTGAAGATGGAGGGAGGGAGGGGTGGAGACTTGTCAGTTGTTTTAGATGGAGGAAGGAGTGGATGGTTGGTTGAAGATGGAGGGAGGGAGGGGTGGAGACTTGCTAGTTGTTTTAGATGGAGGAAGGAGTGGATGGTTGGTTGAAGATGGAGGGAGGGAGGGGTGGAGACTTGCTAGTTGTTTTAGATGGAGGAAGGAGTGGATGGTTGATTGAAGATGGAGGGAGGGAGGGGTGGAGACTTGCTAGTTGTTTTAGATGGAGGAAGGAGTGGATGGTTGGTTGAAGATGGAGGGAGGGAGGGGTGGAGACTTGTTAGTTGTTTTAGATGGAGGAAGGAGTGGATGGTTGATTGAAGATGGAGGGAGGGAGGGGTGGAGACTTGCTAGTTGTTTTAGATGGAGGAAGGAGTGGATGGTTGATTGAAGATGGAGGGAGGGAGGGCTGGAGACTTGTTAGTTGTTTTAGATGGAGGAAGGAGTGGATGGTTGATTGAAGATGGAGGGAGGGAGGGAGGGGTGGAGACTTGTCAGTTGTTTTAGATGGAGGAAGGAGTGGATGGTTGGTTGAAGATGGAGGGAGGGAGGGAGGGGTGGAGACTTGTCAGTTGTTTTAGATGGAGGAAGGAGTGGATGGTTGGTTGAAGATGGAGGGAGGGAGGGGTGGAGACTTGTCAGTTGTTTTAGATGGAGGAAGAAGTGGATGGTTGGTTGAAGATGGAGGGAGGGAGGGAGGGGTGGAGACTTGCTAGTTGTTTGAGATGGTGGAAGGAGTGGATGGTTGGTTGAAGATGGAGCGAGGGAGGGAGGGGTGGAGACTTGTCAGTTGTTTTAGATGTAGGAAGGAGTGGATGGTTGGTAATGGAGATGGTGGTAGGGGTGGAGACTTGTCAGTTGTTTTAGATGTAGGAAGGAGTGGATGGTTGGTTGAAGATGTAGGGAGGGAGGGCTGGAGACTTGTCAGTTGTTTTAGATGTAGGAAGGAGTGGATGGTTGGTTGAAGATGGAGGGAGGGAGGAGTGGAGACTTGCTAGTTGTTTTAGATGGAGGAAGGAGTGGATGGTTGGTTGAAGATGGAGCGAGGGAGGGAGGGGTGGAGACTTGTCAGTTGTTTTAGATGGAGGAAGGAGTGGATGGTTGGTTGAAGATGGAGCGAGGGAGGGAGGGGTGGAGACTTGTTAGTTGTTTTAGATGGAGGAAGGAGTGGATGGTTGGTTGAAGATGGAGGGAGGGAGGGAGGGGTGGAGACTTGTTAGTTGTTTTAGATGGAGGAAGGAGTGGATGGTTGGTTGAAGATGGAGCGAGGGAGGGAGGGGTGGAGACTTGTTAGTTGTTTTAGATGGAGGAAGGAGTGGATGGTTGGTTGAAGATGGAGGGAGGGAGGGGTGGAGACTTGTCAGTTGTTTTAGATGGAGGAAGGAGTGGATGGTTGGTTGAAGATGGAGCGAGGGAGGGAGGGGTGGAGACTTGTCAGTTGTTTTATATGTAGGAAGGAGTGGATGGTTGGTTGAAGATGGAGCGAGGGAGGGAGGGGTGGAGACTTGTTAGTTGTTTTAGATGGAGGAAGGAGTGGATGGTTGGTTGAAGATGGATGGAGGGAGGGAGGGGTGGAGACTTGCTAGTTGTTTTAGATGGAGGAAGGAGTGGATGGTTGATTGAAGATGGAGGGAGGGAGGGGTGGAGACTTGCTAGTTGTTTTAGATGGAGGAAGGAGTGGATGGTTGGTTGAAGATGGAGGGAGGGAGGGGTGGAGACTTGTTAGTTGTTTTAGATGGAGGAAGGAGTGGATGGTTGATTGAAGATGGAGGGAGGGAGGGGTGGAGACTTGCTAGTTGTTTTAGATGGAGGAAGGAGTGGATGGTTGATTGAAGATGGAGGGAGGGAGGGCTGGAGACTTGTTAGTTGTTTTAGATGGAGGAAGGAGTGGATGGTTGATTGAAGATGGAGGGAGGGAGGGAGGGGTGGAGACTTGTCAGTTGTTTTATATGTAGGAAGGAATGGATGGTTGGTTGAAGATGGAGGGAGGGAGGGGTGGAGACTTGTCAGTTGTTTTAGATGGAGGAAGGAGTGGATGGTTGGTTGAAGATGGAGCGAGGGAGGGAGGGGTGGAGACTTGTTAGTTGTTTTAGATGGAGGAAGGAGTGGATGGTTGGTTGAAGATGGAGGGAGGGAGGGAGGGGTGGAGACTTGCTAGTTGTTTTAGATGGAGGAAGGAGTGGATGGTTGGTTGAAGATGGAGGGAGGGAGGGGTGGAGACTTGCTAGTTGTTTTAGATGGAGGAAGGAGTGGATGGTTGGTTGAAGATGGAGCGAGGGAGGGAGGGGTGGAGACTTGTCAGTTGTTTTATATGTAGGAAGGAGTGGATGGTTGGTTGAAGATGGAGGGAGGGAGGGGTGGAGACTTGTTAGTTGTTTTAGATGGAGGAAGGAGTGGATGGTTGGTTGAAGATGGAGCGAGGGAGGGAGGGGTGGAGACTTGTCAGTTGTTTTAGATGTAGGAAGGAGTGGATGGTTGGTTGAAGATGGAGGGAGGGAGGGGTGGAGACTTGTCAGTTGTTTTAGATGGAGGAAGGAGTGGATGGTTGGTTGAAGATGGATGTAGGGAGGGAGGGGTGGAGACTTGCTAGTTGTTTTAGATTGAGGAAGGAGTGGATGGTTGGTTGAAGATGGAGCGAGGGAGGGAGGGGTGGAGACTTGTCAGTTGTTTTAGATTGAGGAAGGGATGAAGGAGTGATGTTTCACTGTTCCAGGATGTGCAGCTGACTGATGTTCCGACTGACAGTCGGCTCGGCAAGGATCTGCAGCAGTACTCAACAAAGTACAAGCAGGAGGTAGGTTTTGTTTGTCACCAACTGGAGATGAGAGACTGTTCTACAGCAAAGACTCAACTTTTAACCTCTCCTGCATTACTCCTTCATGCATCTACTGCCTGTTCTTGACCGTGAGAAAGTGCTGTGTGGGGTCTTGCTGAAGAAGAGGTTGTTTCACCTAACTGAGAGTCCAGCCCTAGCTCCCACGTGACCACGGATTCGATGATGTCACGGGGCAGCATATTACTGCTGTCAACCCACAGGAAGACCTGTGTTGAACTCTCTCCAGTTTTTCATTGATGCTTTGTGTATTGATATCTCTAGTGAATTGTCTTGTGACTATATTGTGCCTATGGTTTGTGTTTTCATATCTTTCATATGATTTATGCCATAGCATAACGATTTTACACCTGGTGATGATTTTCACCATGGTAATCTCAGATGTTTGGTTGTTTCAAGTAGCCATCTTGAATATTGTTTTGCGGTGTTTGCGTAAAATTGTTTTTCCTAAACCCACATGGCTTGGAAAAAAGATTATGACATAAATAATCGGGCGGGGACGCAATGTGATTACACTCTGTTTCATTGCAGATAACATGCCATCTTGCAAGCAGTGTCGCCATAATCAATCTGGGAGCGATCCTCATCCCTTGTGCCTAATTTGCACGTCCCGGTGCTCCCAGACTGCAATATGTAAAGACTGTCTCCCACTTTCCCCCACAGCTTTTGGCAAATATCTGCATGTTTCTGTATATCGGGCCTGTAAACTACGTGTGAGAATGTTGGTCGTTTCTGAACCTGCTTCACCCCTGTCAGCCTGCCGCGCTACGTCCATTGCCACTATGATGACGCCCAGCGCCAATGGACTAATATATGCCTCTCCTCAGCCGTACCAGTCAGCACCTACAACTGCTGTAGCAGTCCCTGCCAAGATAACCGCCTCCTTCGGCTTCGGCCACGGTTTCGGCTCCTTCAGCGTCTCTCCTGGAGACCTTGTCTGCGTCTATACCAGCACCTCTCCAGCCGCCTCCCCAGGCGTCTCTCATAGCGTCTCATACCCCGCTCTTAGCATCTCTACAGGCACAAATACCCCAACTTGGGTTTTTGCTTTACTGCTATATGTACTAGGGAAAATTGGATTTTCGCTAACCAGGCACGACACCATTGCTACAGGTCGCCCCGCAGACGCCTCACCTAGCACCTTTAAAGGCGTCTCTACAGGCACCCTCACACACGCCTCACCTAGCGCCTTTAAAGGCGTCTCTACAGGCACCCTCACACACGCCTCACCTAGCGCCTTTAAAGGCGTCTCTACAGGCACCCTCACACACGTCTAACCTGGACATCTGTGGCATCTCTACAGCTCGGTCCACTATATCCCAGGACCCCACTTCACCTGGTACTTCTTCACAGAGCCAATTCATGGGTCTAGTGGCTGTAGGACTGACTCGTTGGAAGGCTCCTTCATTCCAGCTTACGAGTGTTCGGTGTCAAATGTGGCTCCCTGCCGACCAGCTGGAGGCCGTGGCTCTTTCCCTGGGGTCGGGCGTGGACAAGGAGGACACTATATGGTCGAACCCTACCTCCATTCAGGCCCACGTTCTTGATGAGGACATCCATCGCATGACGGACTCCAACCACTACACTACTATCCGCACCCCAACAACAAGCTCACGTACATTGAAACTGAACTCAGACGCTTTCTCAAGCATCCCTCAGTCATGGCTTCCGCCTCCGGGGCTATACTCCAGGACCTGTCTGTGGACAATCCAAACCCTCTAGACCACCTCACCACTGTCTTTTCCTACCTACAGCGACAGGTGGAACACTTGCTCACGCATATGCACGGTGTGCTGATGGAAATTACGACCATTCGCTGCCTCGCCTACTTGTCTCTCTCAGACTGGGATCCGCAGTTAAAGAGAGGCCTACTCCGTCGGCCCTGGTCGTCTCCCTCACTCTTCAACGGGCACTTGTCAAGGACCCACGCTCGGGTTTCCCTCTTCGCCAGGGAAGAGACCTGCCCTCAAGGCTCTGGCTCACGTCTCTCATTCCGCCTCTTTCAAGTCATCCAAGTCAGGCACATATCAGCCAAGGAGGAACACTCTTCAGTCACGTGTCCGGAACTTCTTTTCCTCCTTTTGGGGCAAGAACCGTGGAAAAGGAAAGTCTTCCGGATCTTACCAGCCCCGTCGAGTGGTGATGGCAAGGCATGGAAGTGAATCGGCAGTCACGAGCGACTTGGACCTCCCACCCCCAGTCGTTCTACTGATCGAGACCCCAGTAGGTGGGAGGCTAGGGCAATTCTGGCGGAATTGTGAAATCCTGGGGGACCCATATATCACCAACACACTGCACCTAGGGTACAGACTCACTCTGAGAGACGACCTCTTCCAACATCGTCACCCATAGCAGACACCTACCCCCCTACTCAAAGGCAACTCCTCTGCTCAAACATTGACACGCTGCTTGCCAAGGAGCCCATAGTGATAGTGCACTCCCCAGCCATAACACCCGGCTTCTATTCGCCAATATTCCTTGTCCCCAAGAAGGACTAGGACCAATACCGAATGATCCACAGTCTCTACACCTTCAACAAGCACTAGCTGGCTCGTCCACTGTACTTCCAGATGGCCACGCTCAGGCTCCTCCAGGATACAGGCTCATGACTCTCTCATCAGCCTGTACATCCAGAACGCGTACCTCCATGTACCAATCCATCCCGACGGCAGGAAATTCCTCCGTTTCATGGGAGTCCACTTTCAATTGGCGGTGCTCCCATTTCGAATTTCCTCGACCCCATGGCTATTTACACGCATCACCAAGCCAATAGCCTCTTCTCCACATGAGGGGTTTCCAATTCAAGGCGTACATAGCCTCCTGAACCACCAGAACACAGCCACACTCCTTCGTCACAGGGGCTTCAAGCAACAACTCCTCCTCCACCTGGGATGGTTGATCAATCTCTGGAAATCTGAACTCACACCCTAGTTCCATCTCCTATTCATCAGGGGCCTCTTTCAATCAGACCAAGACCTCCTCTCACCGAATCCAAAGATAGGGAGTGCACCTCGTGGGTCAAGTCACCTTGGGGCTCTTGTCTGCTGTTCAACAGCCTTGGCACATCAACAACCTTGAACTGGAGGCGCTCATACTGGCTCTCTCTCACTGGAAGCAGACCCTCTGACGCACACAGATCGCCATCTCAACGGACAACATCACTATCGTCCGGTGCCTCCGCAATCAAGGAACGACCCATTCCTACTCGCTCCTACAACAAACGTTCTACTTCTTCAGCCTTGTCGACCAATTGGAGCTCCAATTCCAGATCCAACACATTTCGGGTTGTTGCAACATTCTGGCAGACGCCCTCTCCAGGCCGGACAAAGTCGCTCCCATGGCGTGGAAGCTCCACCCATCACAGAGCTGCCTCCCAATGATGACTTCATATGTTCCAGTTTTTAGCAGTAATGATCTCTGATGTCATCGATTCCGTGGAGCTGTGTGATGGAGCTCTCAGGTAGTTGAAACAACTTCTTCTTCAGCAAGACCTCACACTGCTCTATCTTCTCTGTCAAGAACAAGCAGTAGATGCATGAAGGAGTAATGCAATAACAAACATCTAGGATTTTTGTAGATTCAGACATAACCGTTTTCAGTGAAATTACCCAAATAAGCACATTTAATTGTCTTTGTTATGTTTATATGCTAACTTCTCGCTGTTGGGATTAAGAGGTATCGAAATATATGGAATAATAGTTGTTCATAAAGTTTGTCCCAGAAACTTCCTTCCACCATTTCACGTTTAGTGATTTTATTACCATTAACACCCACTGACTGCACTATGCATGGCATGAACTTATGGTCTTTCTGTGACAGCCCGTTGTGAAACTGGAGATGCAGTTTCCCCAGGACTACCCCTTCACCCCGCCATTCATCAGAGTCATCAGTCCACGGTTCAAGTTCCTGACAGGTAGGTCCCCGCCATTCATCAGAGTCATCGGTCCACGGTTCAAGTTCCTGACAGGTAGGTCCCCGCCATTCATCAGTCATCGGTCCACGGTTCAAGTTCCTGACAGGTAGGTCCCCGCCATTCATCAGTCATCGGTCCACGGTTCAAGTTTCTGACAGGTAGGTCCCCGCCATTCATCAGAGTCATCGGTCCACGGTTCAAGTTCCTGACAGGTAGGTCCCCGCCATTCATCAGTCATCGGTCCACGGTTCAAGTTCCTGACAGGTAGGTCCCCGCCATTCATCAGTCATCGGTCCACGGTTCAAGTTTCTGACAGGTAGGTCCCCGCCATTCATCGGTCCACGGGTCAAGTTCCTGACAGGTAGGTCCCCGCCATTCATCAGTCATCGGTCCACGGTTCAGGTTCCTGACAGGTAGGTCCCCGCCATTCATCAGTCATCGGTCCACGGTTCAAGTTCCTGACAGGTAGGTCCCCGCCATTCATCAGTCATCAGTCCACGGTTCAAGTTTCTGACAGGTAGGTCCCCTCCATTCATCGGTCCACGGGTCAAGTTCCTGACAGGTAGGTCCCCGCCATTCATCAGTCATCGGTTCAAGTTCCTGACAGGTAGGTACCCGCCATTCATCAGTCATCAGTCCATGGTAAATTCCTGACAGGTAGGTACTCGCCATTCATCGAAATCATCAGTCCACGGTTCACGGTCTATTACTGTAAATATTGAAATTAACATGAGCTTGAATTAAATGCAATAAATGCGAGTGATCTTTGTTCACATTAATGAAACTTCGCATTTATGTCTCCAAAACGACTATCAACAATAAGACTGCACACTTTGAATAGCGGAAATACCAACTTGAATATAAACACAAACACGGTTTATTTAGCAGCAGCTGTAACAAGTATATAACAATGTCATTCAAAGAATAGGAATTACACAATGGGCATCCGTTGAGTTATCACTGCTGGGTTCAAGAGTTCTACTCACTCCGATCTTTGTAATGCCAGTCGACAGAATAAACATATAAACTGTGTGTTGTTTTCTAGGAAAACACTGTTTATTGTTTTTACGGAAGTGCTCTACTCTGCACTAATAAGCGGAGCTATTTGTGTTTGATTGGATTAATTTAAGGTTGGATCGAGGTAAAGATGTGTATCATTCCACTGGGGATGGGGTGTGGAAAGTCGCATTGATATTGAGTCACATTTTTGGCCAGGGGTCAGCATTCATATTAATTTGGAGACGCATAACTTTCAAGATTTACAGTATTACTGGCCACCATGATATAGCAGGCCCATTGCAGGCAACATTCACTCTAGTGTGATGCAAAGTGATTCTCGTTATACATACAGCAATGATACAGGAAGCCTTATGTTGATGTTCCAGCGGTAGTTCTGCTGTATTGCTGGTAATGGCTTGAATCCTGCCAATGCAAACCTCATCATGTTTCTCTGATTCTTGACCCTTGACCCCTACCCCCCAGTCCCACGGCTGCTGACATTTCTCTGTCAATTGCAGGTCACGTGACAATTGGAGGCAGCATTTGTATGGAGATGTTGACCAAGTCAGGCTGGGTGCCAGCTAATGACATAGAGGTGAGCCATCACTGTGTCTGTAGTTTACTTCTGTTGGCAGGCGACTGTGCTTGTCGTAAGAGGCGACTGTACTTGTCGTAAGAGGCGACTGTGCTTGTCGTAAGAGGCGACTGTGTCTGTAGTTTACTTCTGTTGGCAGGCGACTGTACTTGTCGTAAGAGGCGACTGTGCTTGTCGTAAGAGGCAACTGTGTCTGTAGTTTACTTCTGTTGGTAGGCGACTGTGCTTGTCGTAAGAGGCGACTGTGCTTGTCGTAAGAGGTGACTGTAAGAGGCGACCGTGCTTGTCGTAAGAGGTGACTGTGCTTGTCGTAAGAGGAGACTGTGCTTGTCGTAAGAGGCAACTGTGTCTGTAGTTTACTTCTGTTGGCAGGCGACTGTACTTGTCGTAAGAGGCAACTGTGCTTGTCGTAAGAGGTGACTGTAAGAGGCGACCGTGCTTGTCGTAAGAGGTGACTGTGCTTGTCGTAAGAGGCGACTGTACTTGTCGTAAGAGGCGACTGTACTTGTCGTAAGAGGCGACTGTGCTTGTCGTAAGAGGCGACTGTGTCTGTTGTTTACTTCTGTTGGCAGGCGACTGTACTTGTCGTAAGAGGCGACTGTGCTTGTCGTAAGAGGCAACTGTGTCTGTAGTTTACTTCTGTTGGCAGGCGACTGTGCTTGTCGTAAGAGGCGACTGTGCTTGTCGTAAGAGGCAACTGTGTCTGTAGTTTACTTCTGTTGGCAGGCGACTGTACTTGTCGTAAGAGGCGACTGTGCTTGTCGTAAGAGGTGACTGTAAGAGGCGACCGTGCTTGTCGTAAGAGGTGACTGTGCTTGTCGTAAGAGGCGACTGTGCTTGTCGTAAGAGGAGACTGTGCCTGTCGTAAGAGGCGACTGTGCTTGTCGTAAGAGGTGACTGTGCTTAGCGTAAGAGGCGACTGTGCTTGTTGTAAGAGGCAACTGTGCTTGTCGTAAGAGGCAACTGTGCTTGTCGTAAGAGGTGACTGTGCTTAGCGTAAGAGGCGACTGTGCTTGTCGTAAGAGGCGATTGTGCTTTTCGTAAGAGGCGACTCTGCTTGTCGTAAGAGGCAACTGTGCTTGTAGTAAGAGGCGACTGTACTTGTCATAAGAGGTGACTGTGCTTGTCGTAAAAGGCGAATGTGCTTGTCGTAAGGGGCGACTGTGCTTGTCATAAAAGGTGACTCTGCTTGTCATGAAAGGCGATTGTGCTTGTCGTAAGAGGTGACTGTGCTTGTTGTAAGAGGATGGCCAGGCTCACTGACTCTTGTTTATGCATGTCATCATATCCCAATTGCAATTGCTCATGATGTTAATCACTGGATTGTCTGGCCCAGACTTAATTATTTACAGACCACCATCATATAGCTGGACTATTGCTGAGTACAGCATTAAAAATTGAACAGAACAGAACCTCTGTTGGCTTAGATATTTAACAGTGCTCTAGTTCATTTGTTTGTTTATTGTTTAACTCTATACTCAAACAATATTGCAGCTATATGACAATATGTGAATAATCAAGTCTGGACCAGTCAATCTAGTGATTGCATGAGCATCAATCTACATGGCGGCATGTGGCAAGTGACTTTGTTCAAAATATGCCTCTGTTCACCCAGCAGTGAATGGGTACCCGGTAGGATGAGTGGTTGTTAACCTTCTAGCGCCTCACAGGCAGCTTGGGTTGTATACTCCCTAGGGAGCTGAGAATGATGGTTGAGTGCGCACTGATCCATTGACCAGGGTAATACCAGTGTAGCACTTTGAGCATGTCCCTGGGGTGTGGAATAATGTTAAAAGCAACGTTAAACCCAAATCACTCACTCACTCAAACAGACCTGGAACCCATTCAACCAGGGAATCTTATCACAAGTTAGGGCGCAGGAATGTGTACGGTCATGGCATCAAGGTCACATGTTGAATAGGACCCAGTCCTAGGAATAATTTATTAATCAAATGCTGTATTTACTGGTGCATGAAAGCACTGATATATGTTGTCTAATCTTTTTTCATTTATGACTTTTTTAAAAGTAGAAAATAAGAACAATTGATAATATGATTTCTTACCATGGTTACAGAGCATCTTGGTCCAAGTGAGAGCAGAGATCATGTCTGACCCTAATGCCAGTCTCGACTCCAGCAGACCAAACGATTCCTACACAGAACGTGAAGCCCGCGACGCCTTCAACCGAATGGTCAGCCGATACGGCTGGAACAAGTGAGTGGGTCATGTGACCTGGACAGACTTCCCTTAAGGCAGGAACCTTGGACATTATGTGGTGTGATGCAGGTCAAGATCATTTCATCAGTCTTCATGACAACTTCCTGCAGTGATGTGAATAAGCCAGGTGTTTCAGCCATCTCTTTACAAACTTCAGCTTTCATTTTGTTACATCAGTTGTCTGTCCAGGCCTGTGGGAGATGTTAATCTGTGATATAGACAGGGAACAAGTACATACCACTTCATATCATGTCTAACAAAGGTGTCATTGATTCACCAAAAATTTACACCTGACAATACAATGCAAGATACACCTAACCATGTATCGATTTTCAATGAGTATTATTTTCAGTAACCAGGTCTAATCACTATTCAGGCTAGCGTTGAATTACCGCCTCTCACAAAACAAAATTCTAAATCTGACTGCATATAACAATCAGAGTACCATGATACATATCGAGTCATGACCCAAGTATCGTGATATGTATCAATACACAAGGTAGGCATATCATGTTACTTCTAATGCCAACATCTGTAGCCTGAAGACCCAGTATGACATCAGTGACATTGTTCCACGATACATATTGAGTCATGACCCAAGTATCGTGATATGTATCGATACACAATGTAGATGTACCATGATCCTTCTAATGCCAACAACTGTAGCCTGAAGACCCAGTATGACATCAGTAACATTGTGCCATGATACATATCGAGTCATGACCCAAGTATCGTGATGTGTATCGATACACAATGTAGATGTATCGTGATACTAGTAATGCCTACAACTGTAGCCTGCAGACCCAGTATGACATCAGTAACATTGTACCACGATACATATCGAGTCATGAGCCAAGTATCGTGATATGTATCGATACACAAGGTAGTATATATATGACTAGTCTCTGAGGCTGCATAAAGAAATAATGTTTCTCAGCCCCAATTTTTATCAAAAGTAAGGAGTTAGGTACAATATTTGTTTTCCCACCATAATACCACATTGATCCATAATTTGGCTTCAAACCCCCTGCCCCCCATTACTTAATCTGTCTGTGTGGAGCATTGACTTCACACTTACAACACTTGGAAGGAAGTAGTATCTACATTAGTGTCATAGACGAGGCTCACACACATCCTGGTACCACAGTGGTATCCATCGGAGGAAGAACTGGGTACATGAAATAAATCTATTTCTGCTCTTGGACAATACAAGTGTTACACTTTTTGACATCAACAAATATAGGTTTGCTTTATGTATTTTTGTGACTAGTTTTACATTGTGTAAACAGGATAAAACATTAAGTTTGATTTGTACTTGCACAATGTTAAAGATTACTTCCCTTGTTTGGAGTTACCTCCCTTGCTCTGAATGGCTTAATGTGGGTGTTTATAAGTCTAAGTAAAAAGAATTCCATTATAGTGGATATTAGAAGTTATTCATGATTATAACCATTACTGATTACACATTATTGATTATTTCTCCATTCTATTGTAATATTAAGTACCAGGACACATTTGCCACCATAGTTTTATTCCAGAAGTGACATCAACATTCTCATCTCTCCATCCTATCCAAGCAGAGACCATATATTAGTCTTTGGTCTCTGTTTTAGCAAGAATTTCCTCGCTCATGTGTGTTATTTGTCTGGACAACTTTTAGCCTTGTGCCAATTGAATTGGGTTCAGAACATAGCTATGGTAACAAATAGATTCAGGGTATGTATCATGATAGAATGGAGATTATAGTACTGGATGTATTGTCTCAAAAGAGAAACCTTGTATTTGGGTGTTCTCTCTGTTCATTTCAGTTAATGATTTAAACATGGATTGGGTGGTCAGCCTCGCTGACTTGGTTGATGCATGTCATCATATCCAAACTGCGTGAATCGATGCTCATGATGTCAATCACTGGATTATCTGGTCCAGACTAGATTATTGATCGCCATCATATAGCTGCGGTGTTAAATAACAAACAAACAAACAAAAAACATCTCAGAGAATGTATATTTATATTGAAAATAACTTTAATGTGTTGATATTTCATCTCGTAAAGCCTGCCTTGTAAATAGCTCCACACATTCAGTCAACTGTTCATGACTCACTCAGGCTGCTTGTATTTATTAGCACACTTTGACATCATCAGTGTGACGTTACCTATTATCATCGGCTTTGTTTGTCAAAGTATGTCCATTCACCTGTTAAACAACCATCCTAATAAGTGGTATGTTAGAATGAATAACCAAATAGAGAACCAACTTTTCTATGGGAAAATGAGATTTAATGACTGCAGAAAGCCTTCCTGTCGGTTAACTTGACAATGTAGTGTCAGTAATATCCTCTATTCAATGAACAGTACATATATCCTTAGGCTCATACTACTGATTCATAACTATGCTGGTCGTAAGAGGCTAACGGGATCGGGTGGTCAGACTCGCTGACTTGGTTGATGCATGTCATGGTATCCCAATTGCGTGGATCGATGCTCATGAGATCAATCACTGGATTGTCTGGACTCGATTATTTAGAGACCACCATATAGCTGGAATATTGATGAGTGCCGCGTTAAACAACAAACCAACCAAACAATCTTATCGCTGACATAGCACCTACTGTCTCTCTCATTGAGTACTTTGTTTGGACTGTGGAGCGATGCTCATGATGTCAATCACTGGATTGTCTGGTCCTGCCTTGATTATTTTCAGACCACTGTCATATAGCTGGAATATTGCTGAGTGAGATGTTAAACAACAAACAAGCAAACATAAAGATAAAATTTGTTAATCCCGTTACGATGGTTTTCTGCAGTTTTTTCAAATAGAAAAGCTTTGAACTCTAGTTCAGAAGGCTTAAGCACAATTTATTCTTTTAAGGTTAGTGACTTTGAGTTTTTGAAATATGCCTCTGTTCACCCAGCATTGAATGGGTACCTGGTAGGATGAAATTGTAATGGTGACTTTTTATATACAGCAGGGAGTTGAGAATGAAAAATGTCTTGACTGGGGCAACAATGTATCACTTTGAGCAGGGTGTGGAGTTGATGCATTACCAATAGAATATGCACTACAACTACACTTTTTAATGTGGTTGTGTCCTACCTCATTTTAGCTTCTTTGTTCTAACATAGCAAATATCCATTCCATGTGTTACTTTATCATCCCCTTGAAAGGGACCTGTCAACAAATCCACCCTAACATCCCTTTGAAAGGGGCCTGTCAACAAATCCACGCTGGCAAACAAAATAAAATAATATTTGTTTTAAATTTCAAAAACTCAAAATGGCTGCCAGGCAAGAAGGAAAAATATAATCTAACATTACGGCCTTCGTGCAAAATCTCTTCGACCAAAGGTGGGGTGTACCTTTGGTCTGGAAGTTTGTTAAATACAGTAAACTACGTTTATAACGAACACTATAACCAACTGACCGATAGAACAAACTTATTTTTGAGTCCCGGACATGTGTTGCATATATGCTGTATATACATGCTTATAATGACCTACGGTTATTACGAACTAAAATTAGTGGACCCTTTGAGTTTGTTATAAGGGTAGTTTACTGTATGTAATCTCTCTTGCAAGATCTGGAAATCCAGCCTATTGTTTCATTCACAGTTTGTGATCATTTGTTACAGAATATTGTTGAACCAGGTTGACAGTCTCCAGTCATTGTATAGCTGCTGTAAGTCTTACCAGTGTTATGCTTTTTGTTTGTCATTACTTGCTGAAGTGCTTTTTTAGGTCCAAATGAATTAATTATTAGAAGTTCAATTTCGCCTGATCAACTTCAGAATTCCTTCACTCTATTGAGATTTGTTTTGAGTCATAAATGACAACACTGTAAGGAGTAATTCAAATCTGTGTTGTAGTCACTGTCAAGACAGTCAGAGATGAATATCCCTCCATGTACAGTCGGCAAGAAACTCTGTCATGTTAAGCTTGTCCGCATGTGTATCTTTGTCTTCACTCGTAACTGTCAACTATCCGGCGTCCTTCATGCACCAGTGAACATCCTCATAGGAAATCTGAAATTACATCCTGAAGGGAAATATGATCAGAAGAAAAATATTTCAAGCTTTGCAAGAAGAAACTATTTGGATTAAAATCTAATTATTGATTTATTGCGGCCTAAATATGAAGTTTCAGTGAGAGATGAGAGATGAAATTGTCCATGGCAGCTGTGATTTATCAAAGGTTGTTCTACAAAGGGATCTGGGGTAGAATAGGTCTTCGGCAACCCATTCTTGCCGTAAAAGGCAAATATGCTTGTGGTAAGAGGCGATTAACGGGATCAGGTGGTCAGGCTCGCTGGCTTGGTTCATGCATGTCATCGATCCCAATTGCGTGGATCGATGCTCTTGATATCAATCCCTGGATTGTCTGGACTCGATTATTTACAGACCGCCATATAGCTGGAATATTGCTGAGTGCCGCGTTAAACAAACCAACCAACCAATCTTATCGCTTACATAGGACCTAATGTCTCTCTTATTGAGTACTTTGTTTGGACTGTTGTTAGCGTCGAGTCATTCGAATCAGGCTCAAAATGAAAACATGACAAGGAATGGGTATTCGTCATAACAGAATGGAGATACATGGATAAACAAAGAAGCGCTGTCTAAAGAGCCTTCCTTGTACGTCCATATTGATTGAAGTCCCCTGCAGTCTATGTACACGGGCGATTTATTTATTTTCTTCATCGGTTACATGGCTTTGTAATGTATCACCTAATATGATTACATACATTGTAATAAAATACGTTTTTTACCAGTAAGTGTTGTCACATGTTTAGCCCCGTGGGGATTCCTGGTTTGAATTAGTCCCTAGCAACCTATGCTGGGCTTAAAGAGGCGACCAAGTGGATTGAGTGGTCCGACTCAGTGGCTTGATTGAAGACTGTCATCACACCACGACGGCGTGTGTCGTTCATCAAAATACCAATCAATCAATTATTTACAGGCTGCCGTCCTATAATAGCTGGGATATTGCTAAACGCGGCATTAAACAACACACACGCACGCGCGCACGCGCGCACGCACGCACGCACGCACGCACACACACACACACACACGCACGCGCAGTTCTCATGGAGGGTGAGAGTGTTACCTGTAAGAAATTTTAGTTTTGTACATAATTAAACTGCTTGTAAAACCATCAAGTCAAGATTGTCGGGGCCTGATTGATTCAAGAAGTGTCTGGATATTTTTTAGAGTGAGTGAGTATGGGTTTTCGCCGCTTTTCGCAATATTCCAGCAATATCACGGCGGGGACACCAGAAATAGACTTCACACATTGTACCCATGTCGGGAATCGAACCCGTGTCTTCGGCGTGACGACCGAACACTTGAACCACTAGGCTACCCGACCGACCCGACAGTTTCTAGAAGGCTGGCTGTACCTATGTAACACTGACAAGACGGCGATTCGAGGCCTTTTTCGACTTGACTTGTTTGTTATCTTCAGTGCCGGCTGGATACGTTGAAACACCTAAGTCCTGTCAGCTTCCAACACTGGTCTGGATTAAAAAAACTGAGACATGCGTCTTTCTTGACATTCGACACTGACAATATTCTAAACATTCGTGAGTGCACTACCATTAATTCTAGGGCCTGTTACTTCTTGCTACTGCCACTCATTTGACTCATTGTATTGTGTTTTTATTGTAAGCCTAATAATGCATATAAATACAACTTAATGATTATTCATTGAGCTTGCGTGGTTATTTTAGTGATTTCACAACTGTGTTAGATACGTACCTAGGTCTGGGTTAATCTCTGCGTTTCAATTTGAAGATCAACTTGTAATAACACGCACGAACGAACGAACGAACGAACGAACGAACGCACGCGCGCACATGGACTCGCCATTTACCATCCATCAAAGTATTCCCCATATACAGCAGTCAGTGTAACCAACCATTGCCAACTAAACAGCCTCATAATGAACCGAGGAAAGGAAAGACGGCGCCAGTGGTCAAGTGGATGGAGCGTCTGGTCGGAATACGAAAAGGTTGGTGGTTCGATCCCCCAGCCATATCACATTAAAATACTTTAAAGCATGGTACTCGTTGTTACCCTGTCTAGCGCTCGATAGTATGGGGATAAAACAAAGTCTGGTCGGCTGGGACTCAGTATATTGTGTCTGAGTGGAGTATCCTTGTTAAACTGCGGCATGGTATGTCAGTAGGCTAGCGTACACTTACATATACGCACATACGTACACCGTGGACACGCACACATACGTGCATGCACGTCCCTATCCACTATTCAGTAAGAACATTGCCGTGTTCCTGTAGAGTTAACAGAAGAACAGGTCGTCGTGAGAGGGCGACCTGCAGCTCGTTCCATGTGTTCGATAGGGTTGAGGTCTGGTGACCGGGCTGGCAACTCCATACGGACATTGGTCTCCTGCTCTAAGTAGGCATCAATGACCCTGGCACGACGAGGCCGTGCTTTATCGTCCATGAGCATGAAGTCCGATCCGACTGCATCAGCATACGGTCTCACGTCCTATCCAGAATGTAAGCCCTGAAGAGCACACCTGTCATCTTGCCCCGCGATATGACATCTTATACCTCCCCAAATCATGATTCGAGTCCCACCACGGACCTATTTAACCAAGTCCGCGGTCCCACCATAGCGGTCATGTTAGGCAACGTTGGAATCCTGAACGATCTGTGAGGGCTAGACAAGATATCCATTCATCAGTGAAAAGTACTGGAGCCCAGTCCTGGTCTGTCCAACTGACGTGATCTTCAGTCTAATCCAAACGCCCCTGCCTGTGATGCCGGGTCAGGGGGATGCGAATGCTTGTCCTCCATGACCAGAGACCAGCCTCATGGAGACGATTCCACACTGAGTAGAAACGTTAACGCCACTGGTGTTCCGCAGGTCATTTCTGAGTGTGGTGGCAGTTTGCAACGTGACAATGTGTTGACACAGTTTCAAGCATGCAATCCACAGTAGCAAATGTTGTGCTCTCTGATAATGATTCTGTCACGACATATCCAAACACAGGTTTTCATACACCTCGTGCACATTGTGCCCATGTGTGTGTGTGTGTGTGTGTGTGTGTGTGTGTAGTCATGCATGCATGTTTGTATGTTCAGGATTTCCCTGTGATATCTTGTAAACTATGCAGCTTTCACATATTGCTTTTACATGTAGCAAAACGGAAAAAATATCTACCAAGCAAGGATATCAGTATGGTCACATGTCAAAAATAGACGGATTGCATGACACACTTTGAGCAAATATATGTGTGTGTTTTGCACAAAACGTACAGACTATTCTTCAATCGTTTCTTGACCCAGTGGTACATGTCATCGTATCCCAATTGCGTGGATTGATGCTCATGATGTCAATCACTAGATTGTCTGGTCCAGACTCGCTTATTTACAGTCCGCCGTCATATAGCTGGGATATTGCTTAGTGGGGCAATAAATAACCCCAAAACCAGCTATTCATGACTTTAATGAATTTGAGACAAGGAAAAGATGACATGGAGCTTGCTATTATGTTTGAAGTCAGTCGGTCTGTTGTAGGTCAGATTGCCAGCACCTGGATGAACTTTCTATATTTCCAGCTACAAGAGGTAAACACATGGCCCTCAAAGGAAGTTATACATGATACCATGCCAGAAAATTTTAACAAGCAATTTCCATCCAAAAGGGTCATACTTGATGCAACAGAAATCCCTATCCAGAAGCCATCAAATGTAAATGCCCAGAGTGCCACCTTTTCTACTTACAAAAATAAGAACACACTTAAAACCATGAAATACAGTATAATGGCCGACAGAGGCATCATGGTCCAGGACTTATTAGCGACCAAGGATGTGTATGTGAACACTACCATGCTCCAGGGGAAATCTCACCTCGAGCCAGAGGAAGTTGTTCATGACAGGAGAATTGCATCAAAGCGAATGCACATTGAACGTAAAATTGGTCTGGGTAAAACCTTCAAAATTCTGAAAAGAGACTTACCACACAGTGAGGTTCTGATGGGTGAAAGGATTGCCTTCATATGTTTCAGTATAAATAACTTCAGAAATTCAATCATGGGATTGCTTGCATAGATAAAAATGTCCATCTTTTGTCAGAAGGGAGACTAGTTTGTTGCTGTGGTAAAGTATTTACAAGGGTATACATCATTTACATGAAAGAGAATTAACACTTTCTTTTGTCATCAATAATTTCATATCACACTCACAGTACATGTATTTGAAATTTTGGTATTTTAAAATGTACACAATAAACATGTCCTCTGTTGCTTAACGCAGCACTCAGCAATATTCCAGCTACATGACGACGGTCTGCAAACAAGAGGCCCAAAGGGCCTGTATCGCTCACCTGTATATTTACGCAATCATCACAAAATATATATTTGCATTGTATATGTATGTAATACTGCAAATATTTCGTAATTTTGACTTAGCATTTAAAAGGGGTGGATGGCAAATCTAACAGCATGAACATGTATTTCTCTTGATACAAATGTAGCATAAAGATCTGAACCATTTCCATGTTATGATCCAGAATAAATCATATTACAGGTATAATTCTCTTCATAAGAAACAAATGTATACAATGTATCTGTTGATTATAGGGCTATTGTAACTTGATAATGCCCTCAAATTGCTTGACGATGGGCCATTAGCACGCCCGTTGTTAGGTGATGTCATAGGATAGGTATAGGTGACGTCACGTTAAATAGTGACGTCATCTGGTTTGTTCAATGACGTTTCCATATTTGTAAAAAAGGGTCCGTGACATTCTTGTTGATTGCATCTAATGTTTCAAAATCGATATTGTTGTTTCTTTTGATTTGATAAAAATTTCCATCCATTTTAGCTATAATAACGGTAACGCTATTTTTCAGGGCATTATCATTTGCAGATGCCCTCGCTCATTTTAACTGCCATCCTTCGTCAGGCAGTTAATGGAAGACCTCGGGCTTCTCAAATGATAATGCTCTTAAAAAAGTGTTACCCGTATATTAATTGTATAAATTTTTACATTACTAGGGCTGGCAAAAAGAAATCAATAATCGATTTATCATCGATGGGAATTTCGTTACACCTCTAATGGGAAAAAATATTAACGATTATTGATATGAAAATCGTGTCATCGATAATACCTTACATAAACTATTGTGATGAAATAAAGTTTAGCTTTACCCAAACAGACTTGTTTGCAATGAATATGTTAGTCCGAGAGTGTGGGTTCGAATCCCAAACAAACTCTTGGGAAGGATGGACACACACAGAGCAATATTTTAGGTAGCATTAAAATACATGAATTGGCATCTTGTGATATCTCCTATATCAGACAGCTACACATTCATGCAATAGTTAAAAGTGTCCTGCAATAAAAGGTCTTAAGTACTTCTTATAGAATAATTCTAACTTTGGCAACATGGAAATTTCACAAAAATCTCTGACTAAATTGACTTTGCACAGAAGCAAATCTTTATGAGTGTAAACAATAAAGTAACATGTTTTTGAACGTGACAAATACAATTGACCTTGTACCTGACAATAGTATGAACTCTGTTTCTTGAGAGAAACAACACCATTACTGGTGTATTCTAGAAATGGGAACATTTTACCAGGTACAATTTCACAATCTTTTCCTACATATGGACATTTTATTTCCACAATGGTGTCATTGTCAAAAACTCCATCCGGTGAAGCCCCTAAATATGGAAGCTCTGGCAAAACAAACAGCCCACATTTCTGAACATTTAAGTTATACATGGACTCAAATTGTTTCACTGCCACAGGTTCATACTGTTTCCCATGAACAACAGGTGCCCCAGACAAACTTGGTGGAAAGACAATAGACTGGCACATTACTAATTTCTTTGTTTCTTCTCTCTGTTGCATGAGCAATATCCCCAAAACGTGATGCAGTAATCCTCCATTTGCGTTTGATATGCCAAAGTTTACACTTGGCCTGGGTGCGAGTGTTCACTTCCAGCAGCTGAGCAGATTCCTTAGTCACCTGTAAATAAATTATGAAATAAAACTTAATTTTTGGCAATATCTGACAAGATTTTGATATTTCAAATTAAAACATTGTTCTACTCAGTTAACATTTTAAAGGCAATATTGAAATGTCAGCAAACATTACTTACATCATTACATCTACCTAATCGTAAAATGTTGACTTCAATCAATGAGTGAGTGAGTATGGTTTTACGCCGCTTTTAGCAATATTCCAGCAATATCATGGCGGGGGGACACCAGAAATGGGCTTCACACATTGTACCCATATTGGGAATCGAACCCAGGTCTTCGGTATGACGAGCGAACGCTTTAACCACTATACTACCCCATTCAATCAATGAAAAAATGCTAAACATATGCTGTATGTATAACAAACACCATGAAATTTTGACTCTATAGACTGTTGGTGTTGCAGAAATGATGTGTAAAAAACTTAGGAAATACTTACAAGCAGAGTGTTATCAACCCAGTACTCTGTTAATGGCAAGGGAAGATAATCGTGATCCTTTTGTTGCCGTCAGTATATCTGCCTTGGGATAAATGTATCTTAGAGCCAGATCCTGTCCTGTGTTTGCACAGAAGTTTAATACCAGGTTTCTAACATGGCCCTGATAGCCTGGGAGGTTTCGATACTGCATCGGTCGTGGATCAGACATTGATGGTTTCTGCTTAGTTGGGAGATCTTCAGCTCTGATGGGAGATCCTAAACAATCAAGTGGAGTAAAGTGAAAATGATATCTGTTAAAATCATTAAGGTCATATTGTGTCAAATGGTATACTGCAAATATTGTGAAATACATAAAGAGTTTCTCTGCATATCTACACTATTTTGTTAAAACAATACACTAACATCTAGTCTCTGAAATGAAAATAGTTTGCAGTGAAAAACAGTTGTTAATTCATAGTCATACAATATAAACCAAAAGGAGCCAAGAGACTTCATTTCAGATACTGTTATAACCTAGACTTCAGTCTTGCCAAGTATTATGGACTTGCATGGGCTGTATTGAAGAGATTTGTCTCATTGTGTGTGACAGACTAATTAAAACAGTCTTATTTTATAATATATGATTACCATCATGTGTACATCTAGGCTTGTGGAAGGTTGTGTAAGTTTTCTGTGCAAGTTTTGTTGACTGTTGGTGCATCTGAACCTTCTGCGAAGGATTGTAGCATGAGCAGCACCCAAGCTAGATGTTTGCAGGTTCCATGTGGCCCTTTCCCTGCAGGACATTCACAGTGTGAGTTGATCACCTCACCACTTCTTCTACTTATCCGAAGCTTGAAGTTGTAAGACACCTGTAGGATGAAAACTTGTCATATAAAAAATATGCATTGATATTTATCAAATCATACAATAGGATTATCACCCACACTTTATGCACATTTCATAAATAGTGGTCACTAAACTTCACTTGCATTTCCACATTAATTATGAAATTGAAGCAAATATCTGCGCATTTTATGTTGTATTAATTGGGATGAAAAGTCTGTAGTGACATCATTAATGATATGACTTTAAAAATATTGGATACATGGTTTTATTAAGTGGGAGACAAAAATTGTACTTGAGAAAACCAACCTTTTTCTTCATAGGTGCTTTGACAATGCCAGTGAAGTACAGATCACCCTGCGATATGTGAACGCTGCAGGCATCTATCCGCTTGGATTCAAACATCAACTTCCCTTTCTCCAATGCTTTTAGGTCTGACATGCACAGCTTGTCAACAGCTGCACGGTGGTTCAGATACACTTCTATTTGTCCTTCAGATAGCTTCAGAAGCAGATGTCTGTGTTCTGGTACCAACTGTCGAAAACCAGAACTTGGCCAATCTGGGATGATCTGCATGGGCATTGACACCAACTCTCCTCTAAAGTTGTCATTTCTGTCATATGCCTCTAATCTGAACAAACAAAAATCTTTTATTGATTATATCCCAAGTACAAATTGAAATATTCTCTTGTTATAATGAGGTATTAATTAGTGTTACTGCTACTCTAGTCTAAGTATATGCCCTACACGTTAACTTTTTTATGATTGTTTCTGGAATGTTTTTGATGGGGAATAACCCGTACCTCCATTCGAAATTGATTAGAAAAGAATCCATTTGTTTGAACGAAGTCCCTTGACCAACCTTGGTCGAATGAATACTGATTTTGCGTAACCCAAAAGAGGAAGTGATGTAAAGGACATATTTCACGCATATCACACCACACACTAGCCCTATCGTCATAATATAGAGTTACCCGCCCTTGAGTGGCTGATGACAGGTATTTTGTTTACCGAAATCAGCATCTATGAGTGATGTGTCATAAAAGTTGAAAAAGAAACAATGACACATTTAGGGCCCAATAGGTTAGTAAGCGCGCGCATTCACGATCCATTATAAATTAACTAGGCGTACCGCGATAGCGTATCGTGCAATTTTCATTTAGATTGTAAAGTTTCTACAAGTTAAGTTTAATAGCGTTTAATATTAAACGTTTAAAGTATGATACATTTTCGATACAACTGATCAAAATGTGAATATTCACTGAAAAACAAGCCGATCGGACCATCAACAAAACAACATGATGAATGAACATGGGGATCGTTACTCACCTGTTTATCAAATCTTTTCTACCCTTTGTATGTGCCCCTCTTCTATTTAGCTCTGTTTTTAACTTCTCTACTGTCCATTTGCCGTAACTAGACATGTTAGAGGCAAATAACATCAAGGATGCCTCACAGGTTTATAAAATTGCAACGGTTTGACAGCTAGCAGACGACGCGCACTCGTTGAACTTAGCACGGCCGGAAGTAGGGAAGGACTGATATAGACTGGTTCCCGGATCCTCCGCTTGGTGTCATGTCTGTCGCAGGAACGAACGGGAACCAGTCTAGGACTGATAGAGCGGTCACGCCACCTGGCGTCAAATCGGCCGACTCGCCTCATTGTTATGCCATCATCTGTTATGGACCCATTGTAAGGCATAACCGTTATAATCGGTCAATGCGATGTGTGTTCATGTCTAGGACCTGTCGTACGTGTTTAAAAGTGTAAGTGGAAACTAGGTTTTGTTGTCAGAGATGATACAGTATTCCAATACTGCCGAATCGTTTTCTTCAACGTGACGTCTATTGTACGCCATCTTACCTGTCGTGATCGTAAGCTCTTAAGAATGGTACGATTATGTCTTAATTTTGTCGTAAATTTGAGATAACGTACGATTGCTTCGAGAATAGCCTAACTTAGCTAATCTATTTTTCGGCACGACACCTTTACAAGAATCTTAGTGCTAAGACAGCACGGTAAAAAACGTCGCTAGGTTAAACTGATGTTCATCACCCAGAACTTCCGGGTTCGATTCCCCTCATAAATATATATATCTTGTGTGGAGCCCATATCTGGTGTCCCCCGGTCGTGATATCGATGTAATAACGCTAAAACAGCGTACAATCCTGTTGTGTTATCGATCTGTTCTCGTCTCGAAAAGAACGCACTCGAACAGTCCGCGGCAATACGCCGTAACAAATACTAATATCTCCCTATTTCAATTCATCAGCGGAGATCTCGCCAAGAGGTGACCCGCCATGTCGTCAATGACTGTGTTCCAGTGCCTGGCCTATGTCGTTGCAGTCAACGCCGTAACAACAGTATGGGTGTATATAGGCCATGTGAAATGGTTGAGTTTCCAGACGTTGGCACTGGCGATGTTCCTGCCGACTGCCATGGCGCTGTGTTTCACTGACGATCTGTGGTCCCTCGTTGTCCGTGTCGTGGGCTTTAAGCAGGTAGGTTTCACCGTCACCTGACGCCAGGTTATCTATGTGGGTCAACCCTTCGACACGTTAACCTCTCTCTCTCTCTCTCTCTCTCTCTCTCTCTCTCTCTCTCTCTCTCTCTCTCTCTCTCTCTCTCTCTCTCTCTCACGCATCCTTGTGGTTAATGCGTGCGCCCTTCACTCCAAAGGCTCAGGTTTAATTCCCCATCCTAGATAAGGAAGAACTGTTGCTAAAAAGAGTAGCGTTGAACGATATTCACTCACTCACTCTCTCCATCTCCTATCAGGGGCAGTCGGGTAGCCTAGTGGTTAAAGCGTTCGCTCGTCACGCCAAAGACCCGGGTTCGATTCCCGACTTTGGTACAATGTGTGAAGCCCATTTCTGGTGTCCCCCGCCGTTATATTGCTGGAATATTGCTAAAAGCGGCGTAAAACCTCACTCACTCACTCACCTATCAATTTAAGTGTTTCATGAGTAGAAATATTTCGGTTTGATATCTCCATTGCTGTTTTACTATATGTACGTGTATGTACTCTGAGTGACCCTTCCATGCCTGTACCAGCCCCTGGACGCTGTGGCCTTCTCGGGGGTAGCGGTATACTCTGTCGCCGCCATGGTCGGAGCTTGCGTCGTCATCGACCTCCTCATGGGCTGGGCAAAACTCAGTGAGTATCAATGTTGAGTGAAGATGGCGTTTAAACTACAGCATTTGCGCGCGAGTGCGTGCGTGCGTGCGTGCGTGGGTCTATGTGTGTGGTTGTTGGTACTGTCTGGACGTATGCCGGTTTTATAGTGCTTATCAAGTCCACATTTTCTCGCTGTATAATATAATAGGACAAGCTTTGGTACAAAAAGGAACGGCTTAAACATTGGCACTGATGTAAATATTCCACATAATACTTGTTTAGCCTGCGAACATTTTCTATATGCTTGGTCTATACTAATAACCAGCTGAATCAAATACCCTAATATTTATACAAGGAAACACAGTCTATTTTTATGCCATTGTTCAGCCAGTCTTCATATTTCCACAGTCATCTCCAGCCATTATTGAAAACTATAACCTGTTTCGAACAGTTCTATTTCATAAGCTAATTAGTTGATAAGAGAAGAGGGCTTAAGATACACACCCTTGTCGTAAACCCAATTGACAAGCAAAGCGTGTTGAAAAAATATCATTATTATACTTGACACATGCTTTCACACTTGAGAGCTTGGTTTGATTTTAACATCTTACTGCTGAACCATCTCATTGCCCTAAAATAGACCCCAATTTTGTCCTGTTCAAAAGCTTTTGGAAACTCTGTGAAACGTGCATACAATTGACCTCTGTTTTCAAAGATCAATAACAGACTGTAGGATAGAAACGTTATATCAATAGAACCGTAACCTTTAGGAAAACCCGCTTGAGATTCAACATTGTTTGTCAAAGTAAGAACACCAAAATGCTAGTCTCTTATTCAGAATGTGTATGTACAACTTGCTTACAATACTTGTTATTAATACACCTCTGTAACTGTTGGCTACACTAGTATCCCCTTTCTTATGTATAGGTACGGGGGCACAGGTGGCCCAGTCGTCTAAGGCGCCGCGATTCGCTGTGCAGAGTTGCGTCCCTTGGGCACGCCAGAAACCTATGATTGTGGGTTCGAATCCCGGTTCGCCCCGATTATGTTTCTAGGTTTGTCAGCTCCATACCCGTGCTCATGGGTTTCACCGAAGTGGTAGACGTCTGAGACCTGCATCACTTCGGGCTTTCTTCCCACATAAAGCTGACAAGCTGCGATATAACTGGAATACTGTTAAAAGCGGCGTTAAACCCAACTCACTGACTCACTATGTATAGGTACACTTAGGCCCTTGCATCACGATTCTGGAAAACATGATCGATCAAACAGAACATTGGATAACCTTTGAATAAAGGGAACTAAACTACTCTGAGAGAACTTATGATCTGGGTGTCGTTGTACAAAGCGATATTAGCGTATAGGTGATCGCAACTCCCATACCTTAACATAGACTTACGGTAGTCTTAGGTCTAAGGTTGTTTTGTACAACGGCACCCTGCTATATGATCTTAGATGATTTTAGTTCTGTGATGTGCACTCTTCATCAAACCAAGATTGTGCATTTCGTCTATTTATGCTGTTTGCGTTTCACACCCTGTGCAGCTACACGTGTTGCATATGTTTGTTGGTTTGTTTGTTGTTTAACGCCGCACTCAGCAATATACCAGCTATATGACGGCGGTCTGTCAGTAATAGAGTCTGGACCAGACAATCCAGTGATTGACAACACGAGCATCGATTCACGCTATTGGGATACGGTGACATGCATCAACCAAGTCAGCGAGCCTGACCACCCGATCCCGTTAATCGCCTCTTATGACAAGCATATATAGTCGCCTTTTATGGCAAGCATGGGTTGCTGAAGACTTATTCTACCCCGGATTGTCGCACTGCATTATTAATTACAGAAACTGTGTCACAAAAGCTATCAAGCAAGCTTGATGTATCAGGTGAAGGTAAATTCTCCCTGTATACACTGACCTTGACCATGTCCAACATACATCTAAACTATAGTATGACCCTTGCCGCGTGCGTCGTGTGCTTCGTAACCATCCTCGCGGGACGTGGCGTGTAGGTCACGTGACTGAAATGAACGTCGCACACGGAAATGATCGGACTTTGACCTCGTAACGATATCGAACTGATGGAACAATGTGAACAAAGGGCTTGAAGTAAGAATGTGAACAATGACACTTGTACGCACTGCTGAAATAGATGTAAAGTCACCCACACCTGCATCTGGGGGCGGTCGGGTAGCCTAGTGGTTAAAGCGTTCGCTCATCACGCCGAAGACCCAGGATCGATTCCCGACATGGGTACAATGTGTGAAGCCCGTTTCTTGTGTCCCCCGCCGTGATATTGCTGGAATATTGCTGAAAGCGGCGTAAAACCATACTCACTCACTCACTCACTCACACCTGCATCTGAACCACATCTTCCATTCATGATATTGAGATAAAAGAAAATACAAAGCTGTAGTAATGAACGCTCATATATGTTTGGTAATAGTTATGGTGTCGTATGTCGTGATGTATAACGGGTATCATGTTAATATGATCAACGTGACTTGAAATATCATGTAAAATGTAATCAAAAGGTCTCGTGGCCTTGTACCAAACATTGTTCAGATTCTACAGAAGTATTAATGTTTGAGCATCTAACAGCATTCATGGACACAGGGCAGTTTTGCAAACCATCAGTCTGGAAGAAAAAGGTCAAGAAGCAAATCGAAGAACATCATGACTCGGAGTGGCAACAGCGTCTACAAACAGACCCGGACCTACACCATTTTTCAAAAATACACAACAAAATCAAACCTCACAAAGCATGGAAAGTTGCTAAGCATTGGCCCTTATTAAAGACTCCTGCAAATTTGTTGTGGACATGTGCGCACTCTGGCGGCCAGGCAAAGTACATGGTGACTGCGAACGTTGTGACAAAGGGTATAATGATCTTCTGGTCCATATGATATGCCACTGCAGAGCATCAGAATTCATCAGGGATCGTATGTGGTGTGAAATTGTTAACTGTTGTCCAGTAGAATTGAGTGTTACCTAACACTCCATGTGTGACGTTGACCTAGTGTGCAGTCTGTTGTCATGCACACCTCCTGTACAAGCGAGTGAAGAAGACAATGAGCTGTTTGCAAGAACTGTGATCCAGAACATACACCAACTGTGTTTGACACTCTTTTGTTATTTCTCTTGTTAATATGTGTATAACCGTAATGAATTGCATGTAACTCTCCTATGGAGGAATAAAGATGATAATAATAACGGTTCTTGCATTTAAACTCTTAGACGACCAGTCCTCGTTATATCCCTTCAATGTCGAGCGCCAGGCAGGGTAACAACAGACGGGGTTTTGTATGACGCAGCCAGGGGACCGAACTTTCGCTCTCCGGGCAGACTCTCTGTATCCTATAAACGCACATCTCTCCGATGCAAGAGAGTTAACTGACCATAAAAGTCCGGTTTCCACCCTTGCCGAACTAGGCTGGTATTATGGAGTTACATTTCGGCTGGACTAACGAGTCTATGAATAGTCCAATCAAAATTGCGCAACGAAATCGAAATCCGGTACCGTTCGTAAACCGGTCGATTGCAGGATTTACAAAGCATGTACACCGCCAACTCGATGTCAACTGAAATTTTTAAAATCTTTTCATGTTTTTAATCAATCTGCTCGCGTGATTTGATTCACTTCGGGATGTAAGACCCATTTTATCACAATATAGATATTGATTATCGATCAGATCGTCTTGACTCGGCGCCGCCATTTTGTTTGAAGTAAAGGCAAGTGATACGAGAGGTTGAATTTGATTGATCCATAGGAGAGGAATAGAAGTGACATAATTCGTAATAGCCACCGGTGGCGCTACGATCGAGCCCAGGAATTCCAGCCTTGTTCGGCAAGGGTGGAAACTGGACTTTTAAGGTCAGTTAACTGTATTGGTACACATGTATAGATGAAGAGAAATCAGCTGGATTAATCTCTAACTCTCCCCCAATTCTGTGCGCCAGATCTCCAGCCTGACTACCAAGTGGACGTGTTGAACGGCACGCTCTTCAACGGCACCTTCTTCAGCAGCTTTCTTCGGGCAGCGGGGGAGGAGGTGGGATGGAGATGTTTCTTGCTGCCGTCATTGATGTCCCACTTCTCACCAGGTGTAGCTCTCTTACTTGGGTACGTCATATTGCAAGTTGGAAACGTTGCTATTATGTTCCCATGCCACATAGACACGTCATTGTGTTCCCATGTCACCTAAGTACGTCATTATGTTCCCATGCCACCTAGGTACGTCATGATGTTCCCATGCCACCTAGGTACGTCATTATGTTCCCATGCCACCTAGGTACGTCATTGTGTTCCCATGCCATCTAGGTGCGTCATTGTATTCCCATGCCACCTTGGTACGTCATGATGTTCCCATGCCACCTAGGTACGTCATTATGTTCCCATACCACCTAGGTACGTCATTGTGTTCCCATGCCATATAGGTGCGTCATTGTATTCTCATGCCACCTTGGTTCGTCATTGTGATCCCATGCCACCTAGGTACGTCATTGTGATCCCATGCCACCTAGGTACGTCATTGTGTACCCATGCCACCTAGGTACGTCATTGTATTCCCATGCCACCTAGGTACGTCATTATGTTCCCATGCCACCTAGGTACGTCATTATGTTCCCATGCCACCTAAGTACGTCATTGTGTTCCCGAGCCACCTAGGTACGTCATTATGTTACCATGCCACCTAGGTACGTCATTATGTTCCCATGCCACCTAGGTACGTCATTGTGTTCCCATGCCTCCTAGGTACGTCATTATGTTCCCATGCCACCTCGACGTGTCATTGTGTTCCCAAGCCACCTAGGTACGTCATTGTGTTCCAAGGCCACCTAGGTACGTCATTGATCATGCCACCTAGGTACGTCATTGTGATCCATGCCACCTAGGTACGTCATTGATCATGCCACCGAGGTACGTCATTGTATTCCCATGCCACCTTGGTACGTCATTGTGTTCCCATGCCACCGAGGTATGTCACTTTGTTCCCAAGCCATATAGGTACGTCACTGTGTTCCCATGTCACCAAGGTACGTCATTATGTTCCCATGCTACCAAGGCACGTGGTTGTGTTCTCAGCTACGATACGTCACTGTATTTCCCTGCTACTCAGGTATATCAATGCGTTGCCCCTGTACTTGGCACGCCACTGTGTGCCCCATACTATCTAGGTACATGACCGTTTCATGACCAATACGGATTCATATATGCATATGTTTAACATTTGAAGCTTCCTACTACACACATGTGTACTAACATTTTGCCATCTTCAACTTTTCCAGCGGTGTCGCATGGGGACTGTTTCACGTGCCCGTGTTGATACTGATGACGTCACGACTGTCAACCCCTATGCCACGCATTACCGTGCTGGTGCAGTGTTTATCTGTCATGCTGTCGGCTTTCCCCCATGGCTGGGTGGCGATCAAGTCAGGGTAGGTCTGTCTCTGTACAAACAATGCTGGATGTAGATGAGGACACAATCTCATTAAAATCAGATCTTAGTTCTCGCTATCTTTAGCGGCAGCGAGAACTTAGATCTGATTTTAATGAGATTGATGAGGACAAAGCGTGATGGCGTCGTGTGCATGGTTGTCACCGTGAAGTGTGTGGGGAGGGAGCGCTAGCGCAGCATACCCAGGGAACCAGGCTGGGCGGGAGTTGGTAAGTGTGTGACTGACACGCGGGGGGAATGATAAGTTCAGAGCCCCTCATAGAAAGAACTGTCCTAAAGACATTAAAATGATTTATTTTTCAACACCACCCCCTTACACATTGATACGCTTTTGCAAACGATGTTGGGGGAATTTTTCCCCAGTTTTGTAGAAGTCCTTCTCTTGGCTTTCCAAAAGGTTTTCACTGCTGCTATGGCGTCACCAGTCGAAATTGGCTCCGGATGGAGACTTTTCTCATGTTTGGGCACAGGGAAGTCGGAGCCAGATCAGGAGAATAAGGTTAATGCTGAATGAGTTCGAAGCCACAGTCGTGGGTTGTAGCCATTACTAATTTGTGCACTGTCACTTCTGGTGGAACAAGACACCTTTCCTCTGCTTCCCACGTCTCTTGTACAATGTGTGAAGCCCATTTCTGGTGTCCCCCGCAGTGATATTGCTGGAATATTGCTAAAAGCGGCGTAAAACCATACTCACTCACTCCCACGTCTCTTTGTCTTAGTTTCATCCCGCAATTGCCTCAAAAGAGCTGCATATTTTTCTCCGTTTATTGTCTGGCCTTTTTGAAGACAATCGATGATAATGACGCCCTTGTCATCCAAGAACCCGGAAGCCATAACCTATCAAGCTGATGGGACGGACGGCTGTTGCCTGGTGCGTTTTTGATCAGATGTCAGCAGCTGTGAAACCCAACTGGTTGATACAATGCTCAGCAACAAAAGTTCCTATGACACCCCTTTCCACCGTACTTGGTGTGTGCGTGCCTGACACTTGTGTTTAAGATACTCCGTGTGGGCGTGTCCCTTGCTACTTTACACCCCCAACACTCGTTTCAAGTACTAGGTGTGGGCGTGTCTATGTATACTATACCCCCAACCCTCATGTTTCGGGTACTCGCTGTGGGCGTGTTTGTGCATATTTTACTCCCCAGCCCTGTGTTTCAAGTACTCGATGTGGGTGTGTCTATGTATACTATACCCCCAACCCTCATATTTCAGGTACTCGCTGTGGGCGTGTCTGTGTATACTTTACCCCCAACACTGTGTTTCAGGTACTCGGCGTGGGCGTGTCTGTGTATACTTTACCCCCGACCCTCATGTTTCAGGTACTCGGCGTGGGCGTGTCTATGTATACTTTACCCCCCACCCTGTGTTTCAGATACTCGGTGTGGGCGTGTCTATGTATACTTTACCCCCCACCCTGTGTTTCAGATACTCGGCGTGGGCGTGTCTATGTATACTTTACCCCCCACCCTGTGTTTCAGATACTCGGTGTGGGCGTGTCTATGTATACTATACCCCCAACCCTCATGTTTCAGGTACTCGCTGTGGGCGTGTTTGTGCATATTTTACTCCCCAGCCCTGTGTTTCAAGTACTCGATGTGGGTGTGTCTATGTATACTATACCCCCAACCCTCATATTTCAGGTACTCGCTGTGGGCGTGTCTGTGTATACTTTACCCCCAACACTGTGTTTCAGGTACTCGGCGTGGGCGTGTCTGTGTATACTTTACCCCCGACCCTCATGTTTCAGGTACTCGGTGTGGGCGTGTCTATGTATACTTTACCCCCCACCCTGTGTTTCAGATACTCGGTGTGGGCGTGTCTATGTATACTTGACCCCCCACCCTGTGTTTCAGATACTCGGCGTGGGCGTGTCTATGTATACTTTACCCCCCACCCTGTGTTTCAGATACTCGGTGTGGGCGTGTCTATGTATACTTTACCCCCCAACCCTGTGTTTCAGGTACTCGGCGTGTCCGTGTCTATGTATACTTTACCCCCCAACCCTGTGTTTCAGATACTCGTTGTGGGCGTGTCTATGTATACTTTACCCCCCAACACTGTGTTCCAGATACTCGGTGTGGGCGTGTCTATGTATACTTTACCCCCAACCCTGTGTTTCAACTACTCGGTGTGGGCGTGTCTATGTATACTTTACCCCCAACCCTGTGTCTGTGTATACTTTACCCCCCAACCCTGTGTTTGTATACTTTACTCCCAACCCTGCGTTTCAGGTACTCGGCGTGGGCGTGGGCGTGTCTATGTATACTTTACCCCCCAACCCTGTGTCTGTGTATACTTTACTCCCAACCCTGCGTTTCAGGTACTCGGCGTGGGCGTGTCCGTGTCTATGTATACTTTACCCCCCAACCCTGTGTCTGTGTATACTTTACCCCTCAACCCTGCATTTGAGGTACTCGGCGTGGGCGTGGGCGTGTCTATGTATACTTTACCCCCCAACCCTGTGTTTCAGATACTCGGTGTGGGCGTGTCTATGTATACTTTACCCCCCAACACTGTGTTTCAGATACTCGGTGTGGGCGTGTCTATGTATACTTTACCCCCAACCCTGTGTTTCAAGTACTCGGTGTGGGCGTGTCTATGTATACTTTACCCCCAACCCTGTGTCTGTGTATACTTTACCCCCCAACCCTGTGTCTGTGTATACTTTACCCCCCAACCCTGTGTTTCAGATACTCGTTGTGGGCGTGTCTATGTATACTTTACCCCCCAACACTTTGTTTCAGGTACTCGGCGTGGGCGTGGGCGTGTCTATGTATACTTTACCCCCAACCCTGTGTTTCAGATACTCGTTGTGGGCGTGTCTATGTATACTTTACCCCCCAACCCTGTGTTTCAGGTACTCGGCGTGGGCGTGGGCGTGTCTATGTATACTTTACCCCCCACCCTGTGTTTCAGGTACTCGGCGTGTCCGTGTCTATGTATACTTTACCCCCCAACCCTGTGTTTCAGGTACTCGGTGTGGGCGTGTCTGTGTAAACTTTACTCCCAACCCAGTGTTTCAGGTACTCGGCGTGGGCGTGTTTATGTATACTTTACCCCCCCAACCCTGTGTTTCAGATACTCGGTGTGGGCGTGTCTATGTATACTTTACCCCCCAACCCTGTGTTTCAGATACTCGGTGTGGGCGTGTCTATGTATTCTTTACCCCCCAACCCTGTGTTTCAGATACTCGGTGTGGGCGTGTCTATGTATACTTTACCCCCCCAACCCTGTGTTTCAGATACTCGGTGTGGGCGTGTCTGTGTAAACTTTACTCCCAACCCAGTGTTTCAGGTACTCGGCGTGGGCGTGGGCGTGTTTATGTATACTTTACCCCCCAACCCTGTGTTTCAGATACTCGGTGTGGGCGTGTCTGTGTAAACTTTACTCCCAACCCTGTGTTCCAGGTACTCGGCGTGTCCGTGTCTATGTATACTTTATCCCCAACCCTGTGTTTCAGATACTCGGTGCGGGTGTGTCTGTGTATACTTTACCCCCCAACCCTGTGTTCCAGGTACTCGGCGTGTCCGTGTCTATGTATACTTTATCCCCGACCCTGTGTTTCAGGTACTCGGTGTGGGCGAGTGGCTTGATGCACGCATTGTGGAACCAAGTGAATCCCGTCATGTTGGGCAGCATCTACACTCAGGCCCCGGGCATCGTAGTCGGTCCCCAGTGGCTCATCAACGGCGAGGGGCTGGCGGGATGCATCGTCCTCCTTCCCCTCGCCATTTGGCTGTCAGTAACAATGTGAAGAGTTGATATGGCGTCAAGGAGAGCAAGGCGCTATTCGGTAGGCGGGGACTGCTTAATGTTTGGAGTTTTCATACTAAGGTGCTCTTTTTGGTGTAGAATCAACAACCTGTCACAATATTTTTTTTACATAATACGTTCATGAGGAGTTTTAATATTTTTTATATATTGAAATCATTTGTGTAAAAGAGCGGAATATATTTTATTCGTCACGTTATGTTTCCGCATTGAATAATATACACAGAGGAAAATAAATTCATTAATATATCTATTGACCGCCGTTTTTATTTTCTTATTTTAAGCCTACCAACTTTAAGAAGAAAATAGAAAATAAGAAGAAATAATAATGTAATTCTGTAACATGAGTAATGTCTCTTTTAAAGGCATGGTTTCTACTGGCGCATTCTTTGCATGAGTACCGCTTGCTGTAGCTTTCATTTCTGACACGTTTGAACAATATTGTCTTGAAGTCCATGTTGTCTTGACGTGCATGTGCGTTTGCGTGAATAAAGGGGTGCCCAAACGTGAATGCGTGTGTGAACAAAGTGACGCCCTAACGTGCATGCGTGTCAGAACAAGATGTTGCTCAAACATGCATGCGTATGTGAACAAGGTGTTCCTCTAATGTGCATACGTGTCTGAACAAAATGTTGCTCAAACGTGCATGCGTATGTGAACAAGATGTTGCTCAAACGTAAATGCGTGTGTGAACAAAGTGTTGCCCTAACGTGCATGCGTATGTGAACAAAGTGTTCCTCTAATGTGCATGCGTGTGTGAACAAAATGTTGCTCAAACATGCATGCGTATGTGAACAAGATGTTGCTCAAACATGCATGCGTATGTGAACGAGATGTTGCTTAAACGCGAATGCGTGTGTGAACAAAGTGTTGCCCTAACGTGCATGCGTGTGTGAACAAAGTGTTGCCCTAACGCGCATGTGTGTCTGAACAAAGTGACGCCCAAACGTGCATACGTGTCTGAAGAAAGTGTTGCCCTAACGCGCATGCGTGTCTGAACAAAGTGACGCCCAAACGTGCATACGTGTCTGAAGAAAGTGTTGCCCTAACGTACACATGTGTCTGAACAAAGTGTTGCTCTAACGTGCATGCGTGTGTGAACAAGGTGTTGCTCAAACGTGCATGTGTGTGAACAAAGGCACGCCCTAACGTGCGTGGGTGTAAACAAAATGTTGCCCTTACGTGCATGCGTGTGTGAACAAAGTGACGCCCTAACGTACATGTGTGTGTGAACAAAATGTTGCCCTTACGTGCATGCGTGTGTGAACAAAGTGACGCCCTAACGTGCATGTGTGTGTGAACAAAATGTTGCCCTTTTGTGCATGCGTGTGTTAACAAGGTGTTGTTATAACGTGCATGCGCGTGTGAACAAGGTGTTGCTCGTACGGGCATGCGTCTGTGAACAAAATGTTGCCCTAACGTGCATGTGTGTGTGAACAAAGTGACGCCCTAACGTGCATGCGTGTGTGAACAAAGTGTTGCCCTAACGCGCATGCGTGTCTGAACAAAGTGACGCCCAAACGTGCATACGTGTCTGAAGAAAGTGTTGCCCTAACGTACACATGTGTCTGAACAAAGTGTTGCTCTAACGTGCATGCGTGTGTGAACAAGGTGTTGCTCAAACGTGCATGTGTGTGAACAAAGGCACGCCCTAACGTGCGTGGGTGTAAACAAAATGTTGCCCTTACGTGCATGCGTGTGTGAACAAAGTGACGCCCTAACGTACATGTGTGTGTGAACAAAATGTTGCCCTTACGTGCATGCGTGTGTGAACAAAGTGACGCCCTAACGTGCATGTGTGTGTGAACAAAATGTTGCCCTTTTGTGCATGCGTGTGTTAACAAGGTGTTGTTATAACGTGCATGCGCGTGTGAACAAGGTGTTGCTCGTACGGGCATGCGTCTGTGAACAAAATGTTGCCCTAACGTGCATGTGTGTGTGAACAAAGTGACACCCTAACGTGCATGCGTGTGTGAACAAAGTGTTGCTCTAACGTGCATGCGTGTGTGAACAAAGTGACGCTCTAATGTGCATGCGTGTGTGAAAGAAAGTGACGCCCTAACGTGCATGTGTGTGTGAACAAAGTGTTGCTCTAACGTGCATGCGTGTGTGAACAAAGTGACGCTCTAACGTGCATGCGTGTGTGAACAAAGTGACGCCCTAACGTGCATGTGTGTGTGAACAAAGTGTTGCTCTAACATGCATGCGAGTGTGAACAAAATGTTGCCCTTACGTGCATGCGTGTGAACAAAGTGACGCCCTAACGTGCATGTGTGTGTGAACAAAGTGTTGCTCTAACGTGCATGCGTGTGTAAACAAAGTGACGCCCTAACATGCATACGTGTGTGAACAAAGTGACGCCCTAACGTGCATGTGTGTATGAACAAAGTGTTGCCCTTACGTGCATGTGTGTGCGAACAAAATGTTGCCCTAACGTGCACTTTGGTCAAACTACACGTTGTGCTCACGTGCACATGTATCATCAATATGATGCCCATACACATACATATGTTCCAATTATTCTCTTCGGTCGGAGAAGGCTTTGTGCTCTTATCGAGTGTTTCAATTGGTCACATACAAACTGCATCATTAACACTTTGTTGCATTTCTCTAGTTGTGTGATATATTTCTGACCCAGAAGTACATTAGTTTTTTGGTTTTTTTATGGTATTGGCTCTCAGCTCTGTAACGGGAAACCGAAAAAAAGAAGCTACTCTAATTTTATAACGCGAGTCTGTTGACCTACCATCACTGTAATATATTGGTACCACGAAACCAACATTTCAGCGACTTCATCCTGTCACTCCCGTTACATCACGAAACTCCACGAGGAGAGTAGTGCGTTTTGTCTGAAGGTTCGGGGGCACCAAGCTTGGTGAGAGTGGTTATGGTTTTACGCCGCTTTTAGCAATATTCCAGTAATAAACGATAGAAGACACCAGAAATGGGATCACCCATAGTGCCCATGTGGGAAATCGAACCCGGGCCTTCGGCGAGACGGGCAAACGCTTTAACCACTAGGCTACCGCCCCGCATCAACTTCAAGTGTTGCATGTTCAAGGCATGTTCAAGTCTTGTGACACCATCCCACTCCATGTTTTTCTGTGCTGCTTCTTAGATTAGGGGCCGATACACTGACGCCCCCGTAGGGTCATACAACTTTCATTATGTGAATGTATATAGGGGGAGAGCCACAAGAGCCTCTAACTGTGCTTCAGGTTGTAAACGTATTTCGCCGATATTTCTTTTGATAATCCAGCTCTGATAAACCGACTGCATATCCCTATTGCTTACTTTACTGGGGAACATAACAGCTTTACTTTAGTACGGAATGGGAATCGAACCAAAGACTGCATTGGGATAAACGAATGCTGTAACCATTGAGCTAACCCTGCATAATGACTGTGGAATATAGTTAAAGCCAGCTCTTGCTAGCTCTATTCCACAGCATCAGGAACAATATTTGATTAACTTTAGAGGTGAGAAGAGTATTGTGTGATATAAGATTTCATAGACTGAGTGTCAGTCTACCATTGAGTCAACTATCGGCTTTGTCATGGCGACACGAGGACGCGCATACAAGGTAGTGAGTGAGTGAGTGAGTTGGGTTTAACGCCGCTTTTAACATTATTCCAGTTTTACCGCGGCGTGTCAGTTTAATGTGGGAGGAAAGCCCGAAGTGATGCGGGTCTCAGACGCTTAACACTTCGGTAAAACCCACGAGCACGGGTATGGTGCTGACAAACCTAGAAACATAATCGGGGCGAACCGGGATTCGAACCCAAAATCATAGGTTTCTGGCGTGCCCAAGGAACGCAACTCTGCACAGCGAATCGCGGCGCCTTAGACGACTGGCACACCCGTGCCCCCCATACAAGGTAGGAGGTAATAATGTATGTCCGAGAACATCATTTGAAAATGATACCGAGGGCTGAAGAGTGATCTTGCCTATAGAAATCGTAATCCTTGGGTGGTGTTACGAGGCTTGCTTTCTCATTGACTCAATCTCCCATACTGCTACATTGGTCTTCAGTAACCCATGTTTGTCGTAAAAGGAGACTATGCTTGTCCTAAGAGGCGACTAGCGGGATCGGGTGGTCAGGCTCGTTGACTTGATTGATGCATGTCATCGTGTCACAATTGCGTGGATCGATGTTCATGATATCAATCACTGGATTGTCTCGTTCACCGATTATTTACAGATCGCCGTCATTCCGTTGGAACATTGCTGAGTGCGGCGTTAAACAACAAACAAACATTTCAATAGAGCCGATACATCGTCATATCGTCATATGGGCCCCCAAATATATACAACATTAATTCATTATGATTTCACAAAAATAATCCCCGTGGTGATCCCGGATTTGAAATGGTCCCCATTAATCTATGATGGTCTATGAGATAGGCTAATGGATCGGGTGGTCAGACTCGGTGACTTGGTTAGATAGCGTGTCATCGTACCCAGCGGCGTGGGTCGTTGCTCACAATATCGATCACTGGATTGTCTGGTCCCGGGTCGATTATTTACAGGCCGCTGCCATAGAGCTAGAATATTGCTAAGTGAGGCGTTAAACAAGAAAGCGTCAACACAGAAAATGGAGAGAAAGAGGGATTCTTGTTTATCCATGCATCCACTTATGGCAAAATTACTTCCCAAACCTTTCAGGTGCAATATGCCTATAAATATACTGATCCCTATTTTTGCACCACCCTCAATATTGTAACAACCCTTCTTTAATGCTGTAACAGTAACGCAGTGCCGTAGCCGGCCGGCCTGACAAGAGGGGCAGTTGCCCCTCTAGATTTTTCTTTTATAGAAAACAGTTTTATTTGAATCAAGTTGGGGACAAGTTAACTACGGCCTTGAAGGGGATTCCATTTCTTCCGTTGTCCGTTTTACTGGCACATTTTTCTCCCTCGAAGCAAGCGCGGATTTGATTGGTCAGCTACCAGGGTTACAGTTGCCGTTATAAAGAATCCGATTGATTAATGTGGATGGAGACAGGTTCGTGAAATAAGCAAAACCAATACACTGTTGTATTCAATATTTTAACTAACGATCGATACGTTTATTTCACGAAATAAATTAAAAGGGCAATACTTACACGAATAGAATACATTATAACTGCCAAATGTGGCGACTTCTAAATAAATCTATGAAAATAGGAGACAAGATAAAAATCTTGACATGAGTGATGGCGTATAATGGCGGCCATGTCACCAGGACACGTGGCCTGAGCTCCAAGCAGGGCATGGAGGCATCGCTTAAAAATATTAAGATCAGATAAATATGACTAGTTTCTCTGGCACGTATCTCTCTCCTCTTTTCTGAAAGAGAAGCACTGACCAGCCCAGGTCAAATCGTCACATGATCATAACGTGATCTTGACGTGATCTTGACGGGGCTGCTAGGGGTGAGTGATTAAAAGTATGGAGACCTGTGAATGGGACGGACATAGCACAAATATAAGCAAACCAGTGATCTATTAGAATTTTACGTGAGGGGTTTGCGTAACTCACACCTCGGCAATGTTGAAACTGAAACACAAGGCCCGTAAACCGCAGAAAGCTGCGTGCGCATCCCACCACCATTGGATTAGGTGAAAATTGGGAGAGATACGCTGCTATAGCAACCATCACTACAGCAACCGTTAAGATTAATACATGATATTGCGACACTCATAACTTACGTTTCCCTCGTTGATTGATAAAATAGATTTGTATTAAGCTTGATCAAAACGGATTATTTTGTTACATAGTTAAAGCAACGTCACGTTGTCACGAAAGAGTATCATACAATCGCTTTCCAGTCCCGCGCATGAGCAAAGGGGTTTAGGGGAGACAGTTAGTAGGAGGAGGGGCTGGATAAACGGGTTTATTGGCTTCGTCCCGGTATAGGAAGTGTTGACAACGCCATATTCGTTGACGAGTAGAGTCAGCAGTAAAGATAGTTTCGAACCATCACCATGATAAAAGCATCAGCACCACCACCAAGTGTATGAAGGGAGTTTATTCAGGAGTATGAGCTTACTAGCTACACTTAGTACAATCAGATGGACAGGTGCCCGCAAAAAATACAATCATAGACGTAAATCTAGGTGACGACTCAACGACGTCATGATTCGTGATTGCTGTCAGAAATAAAGCACAGATCTACAAAACCCAAGTAAATATACAATGCGCAGCAACCTGCACATTTTGCATGCACTGTTGACAAATGATGATATTGCACATTAAAATAATGTAGATCAACTAGACAAGGACCGCACCCTATGGGTGCCAGCATAGCTAACATCTACCTGCACGACTGTGCCATAACATTATACTTCTTACTCCATAATATCGCCATTTAGTTGGTGTTTTAACACCCGCAACGACGTCAGACAGTAAAATGAGATTGCTTCAAAAATGCATCACAGTGCCCATACCCTACGAACCGTGACCCGGAACTGCTTCCTCGGCAGACGCATGGCAAGATCGCACTTCCGGTGAGACAGGCTAGACAATGGCGTTAACAATTTGCCATTACATGTACTTAATTTCGTATTTCTTCCGAGTACGATACGTGTACAAATTTCAAATAATCAAATATTGAGCAAATTAGAATCAAATATTTGAGTTTTGCACGCTAACCGAGGAAGCAATCACTGACGACATAACCTCAAGCTTTGCTCACCACAATCATTGAAGGCTCAGGGAATATGTCTGGGACAGATCCAGAATAGAAAGTTTCGTTGCACTGTTAATGTGGGCGTTATAATACTGACAATATCTAGAACCCAAGTTTCAGAATGATGTACAGGTATACCTCAAACGTTACCTTCATATGTATATTAATAAATAAAAATGATACAAATAGCATGCAAAAGAAACTGCAGTATCCATACTTATGGCAAAGAAAGTGTACAGATAGATCCCTGATGGTAATTGGGTTCATTCAGACCTTTCAATAACTGCGGTGAGCACCGGCATCTCGACCCCACGCCATCTACACGACACACGACATCACTACTACAATAATCAGCTGTCAGCCATAGATATAACATGCACTCAATATGTTTGCAATATTGCAAAAAAATATGATATAAAGGCACATATTCATTGTCGTGATTAAATACATCACAAATAACTAGAAGGTAATTGCAGCTGTTAAGTTTGATTTCGAGTGTAGCCATGAATTTCTATACACGTCTATGACTCAAAGGAGAACACGTTTCCTTATCTTTGGTCCAAGTGGAAGTCAAGATTGAGGGAGGCTCGACCAATGTGGTTTTTTTTATCCAATTCATAAATTCTTATTGCAAAGTCGTACCATAAACTCCATCCTTAAAAAATAATTTGGTTCAATCACAGATATTTTGGCGTTTCGTAAGTAAGGCACATTTCCAAAATAGGGCAATACCTTTGGAAGGGAATTTAATATGGTAAAAATAATCAAGATCGGTAATAACCCTCAGACATGTACAACATTCGGTCAAATGCAGGACAAAAAGATCAAATTATTTCATCACGGAAATACGATTATCATGAGTCCGTGGATGGGGCCAGAGACAGGCTTCAGCGGCCAGGGTGTGGTAACGTGTAAGTGACTAGATTACCAGTTGCGCAGAGGGCTTATACACAAAATAAGGCCGTCGTCAAAACGCGACGTCATCAACAGACATAACAAATAACAATGACGTCATCAAAATATGTACACAACAAATCCTATACAAGTCTCTATGTACAACACTGGAGTGGTCTGTAGAAGACCGCTCGTTAAAATATTCTAAATTAATGTATATGTATATATAATTCATCTATTCAGTAACAAGATAAAACACGTTATTTTACAAATACAACAGTAATATCGACATCCAATAAATAGTTACAATTTTCATTGTCTACAAGTCGACATGATGAGGAATGCATGGTTGATAGTGTATATAAATATGAAAGTGGTTTTAATATTTTACAACTAGAAAAATATGTGTTAAAATTTCAACACAAAATAAATAAGATCTGGTTTAGCTTATTCTCAAACATTGCGACAGTCGACACTGTACAGAAAGCACAATAAATCTCTCAAATTACACAATAAAAAGTACCCTTTTTAGTCTGGTAAACTAAAAGCTGGCGTTTTTCCTTCCAGATCGGCCGTATTGGCATGTGGAGGGGACGTAAAATATAATAAAACAACGTCAGGCAGCACGTTTGCCGGGCCGGGCAGAATTGATGTGTCACCATTTTCAGTCATAATGCGCAGGTCTGTTGTCATGGACTCCCATCACGTGATCATCACGTGATCATCACGTGATCATGCCATGAAAAGCTCTATGAAGCGGTTGCCCAAATGGCGCCTGTTTTTCTCGATGATAGCTCTCTCGCCTTCAGCACGTGACGAGAACGTGATCAAAGCGTCGCCATTGGGCTTCCCGTCAGCGCTGTGTTGAAGTTGGACTGTGTCTGGGCTCACCTGAAAGCAAAACCCATAAATTAGAATGCTAGAGATTAACAGTTTGTTTAAATCTTCTTAAGTAGGTCTATGTTTACGTTCGGTTTATTTAAATTTACGCCAGGACAAATCCGAACATGATCTATTACTATTATTATTTGGTATTTATCATACTGCTACAGGGTTGTGCAACATGCAAAAAGAACTTTTACAGGAAACAAAAAATAATGCAAGGAAATAGGGAGCAACTGAACAAAAACGTTGAAATTAAAACAAAACTGAAGCAATCTGTTGACAAAAAAACCATACACGGCTTTAACCCCATACCCAACACACACAACAAGGCTTGCCAGTGCAAGTCTGCGATGTCCAACTTTATATTATCCAATCTCGCGAGACCTGTGGGTGACGCGAGATCATATGACTATCACGTGACACGCAGAGTAGCCATGTGGTGTGTTGAGACCACCTCGGGTAATGAGAGGCGCAGGCAGAGGGGACAGGAATACCCAGTATGGGCAGAACCATTACCAACACAAACGGAGGCAAGCGAAAGATAGGCGGACTGGGATATCACTACGACACGTGGTCCAAAGCTGCAGGAACTCGGAGGCACTTGCTGCTGACAATATCCCGATGTGCCGAACACAGACAATCTGGGCCTACCCGGAGTCAAAAGAACCCCGTCTTTTGAGTCACAAAGGATGGTGGGTGGCTAGCCCTCACCTTCGCGACCACCATCATCCAGGCAGTTACTAAAAACACACAAATGTACTGTTTATTCCTATCAAATATACATGTAACCAAACTAAATCTTCAGAATGTAAAGCGTAAAGAGATCTTTCTGTAGAACATTGCTGCTTGTTTCAGGGTGGTCGTGAAGCAACAGTTTGTCAGTGTTCGGCAGAAGGCAGTGTAAGAGAATTTAAATACCTCTGGGAATCCTTGGAAGTAATTGATAATGTCCTGGACGGTTACATTATAGGGCAGGCCTCTCATTACGATGACCGAGGGGCCAGTATGGGTGAGATAAGTCTGAGGGGAGACAGGGGGGCTGGGGTACCAGTAGAGGATGGGAGGGTAGAAGGATGTCGCCGGACGCTGGGGGATGTGAGTCATCGTCGGGGGAAAGGCGGCTGGCAGTGGCTGTGGCAACTGGGCGTATGGCAACGTCCCCAATGACGGCATGATGGTCGGTGCTGTTACTAGAGAAGAGGAAAATACAGAGTTAACAGAGGGGAGAGACAAAGGATACATATATTGTATGCATGAAACAAATACTTGCAATATGCTCTATGTGTGAAAATTCCTGTTTGACGTATCGTTAACATTCAAATATACCCAACAGATTCTTTAAAAAAAATGTGTTTTAATATAACTTTATTACCATGGTAAAACAAGTTCTCATTTCCTCATTTTTTTAAAGTCTTTATGATACAGCATCCCGACAGCCATTGGCGGCTGCGTTTTTGTTTAATTATTTCACGGAATTCTCGAGATGCAGTACTTCTGATTTGGTATTCGTTTGGGGCTCTGCATTCAATCCGTTTGGCATAATTACATGTTATCACATTTGCCTTTATCATTAATTAACTATCGGAATTTGTTTCATGCTTTCATTTTTCATCATACTTTTTGTTTTTGGGTTGTTTTTTTCAGATATGTCTATTTGTATTGCGCTTGTATGTCTTATTTTCCCAGTTTTTAATGTTGCACAAAAAAAATCAACAATATACAGGAACTTCGCTCATATATACACCAAACAGTTGTATGTGTCAACCGGAACTGTTCACAACAGGGTCGGAACATTTTCACTGCAATTTTATGTATTTTAATCCTGATATTAAACATGTTCACAGGTTAATACAGACACAATTTGAAGCAGGGATTACGGGTGGAAATGTGTCGATTATTTTATTAAAAAATTCGTTACAGAAAATACTGGTTAATTGGAATGTTGTCTCGGGTTCCTGGAACACTCACCAGGTGTTAAGATCTGTCTCTGTATCATCTGTGCAGGTGCTTGGGGAATGGTGGCCATTGGCATGCCATTTGTCAGAACGAGGCTCATGTCATCGCCAGAGCACTGTATGACGTCAATCAAGCGCTTCTTGTTGGCAAATGTCATCGGTCGCCGGTGTCGGTTGATTGCGGTCATGCTGGAGGCTTCTTCCGAGTCCATCTGTATGAACGCCTCTCCTGAAGGCTCACCCTAAACACGAAGACACAGAGTTAGGTCAACGTTAACACAAGGGGCACTGACAGTATTGAGCTGCCATGCCCTTTTCGTACGGGTATTCGAGACTCAATAGTGTCGTTTGAGGGACGCAAATATCATATTTTGAACGCAGATTAAACATGTAAAAACAAATAATGGTGTATGTAAAGAGTTCCTTTATATATTTTATTTTTTCGATGGTTTTTGTCAGCAATTGAACTTCAAATTGCACCAGTTATGACCTGGGAACGTGTATTAAAAGATGTTCATCTTTAAATTAGTACCCTTGATTCAGGGGTGAGTGAGTGAGTGAGTGAGTTGGGTTTAACACCGCTTTTAACAGTATCATAGCTATATCATGGCGTGTCAGCTTAATGTGGGAGGAAAGCCCTCAGACGTTTACCACTTCGGTGAAACCCACGAGCACGGGTACGGTGCTGACAAACCTAGAAACATAATCGGGGCCAACCGGGATTCGAACCCACAATAAGATTTCTGGCGTGCCCAAGGGACGCAACTCTGCACAGCGAATCGCGGCGCCTTAGACGACTGGGCCACCCGTGTCCCCGTTCAGGGGTGGGAAACTAAGACTTCAAGGGAGGGGGTTGGCACTTAAAGTATTCAGAAACTATGCTATGTAATGATGAATCCTTTCTTTTCGAGGTATAAACATTGGCCTGGATTAATCGTTTAAAGTAGCCATGAGGGGCAGGAATCTTTTACAGATCAATGACACAAGGATTATATTAATCACTCAAGTCCATGCAAAACTCAAGACGATCAAAATAAAATGCATTTCCAGATAAGGTTTTAGATGTGATGTGTGACACTGCAATGTGTGACATGCACAATTTACAAAGTGTAAACAACCACCGAAGACGCGGTATTGACGGATTATCTCCCCTGCAGGAAGTGCACCAACCTGAGCTGTATAGACCATGTGTACTCCTTGATACACGATAAACTGAGAATATTCGCCTAGGAATGTCAGAATATCTGTCACTTGTGCTATGGTAGGCAAGTTGCGCAGGCGCACACAGTCTTTCCTTGTCCCAGCAGTGATTAGGTTTTGAGGAATGATGGTAGGCACTGTTGTTGCTTGCGCCGGAAGCTGCGCAATGAGTGGCGGAAGTTGTCCATCCTGCTGTTCGGGGTTGCGAGGATCCATGCTCCTATTGAGAACCTGTAGAGCACATTACACAGCTACAGTTACCGCAAAGGGTTAGTGACGTACAACTCCTCAAACCAAATAAACAGACAAATTTCGTTACAAGAACACAAACAAATGTTACCAACAAAACCAGATTAGTTGTCTTGTGTAATCTGAATTAGAATTGTTAAATTGTTTCACGAAAAAAAACATAAGGAAAACGATTCAATTTAGCTTTTATCATAAACAAAATTATACGAAATGAGAGCATAATTAATTTTTACAATTAAAAGAGGATATTCTTCATGGAAAGAGTGGAAAGAAAGACAGATATTTGCCAAGAGACCAAAAGCTGAGCGCGTATTTGGTGCATGGATCGTCACGTGACGAGCACCTTGTCACGTGGTGTCACTAAGTGCGGTATGTTATGCTATACCCTCGTCTATATGTACGTTATATAACAGTACTGCTAGACATGTGGTTCAAGTGTTTACCCAACTCAACTATCTCTAAAATGTCATCAGCATATCTTCCAAATTTCATTTACCATTTTTTATATTTTTGGAGAATTTCTCAAATAAAATTATGACAAATCATGAATGATGTCTGAACATTGAAAAAAATATGCGTTGTTAGACAATGAAAATTATTTCATCTCATTATGGTAACACTTCAAACCAAATAGTAAACAAACAGTCCCAAAACCACATTGCGAGCAGACGCCCTCTCACCACCTTTGAACCAAATATTCTAAAATACCTCAAACCACAAAATATACAAAATGCTGCTGAAGGGTTAACTGACATATAAAGGGTAAGTAGGAAGCAGATGTTCGGTGTTGGGGGCTGACCCTAGGGTTGTTGCCGGTTCCTCCTCCTCAAATTAACATATCCTCCACGGGTCTTCTCTCGCGTGTCTACATTACTATGACGGTTACTCCACGAGTTATGTGTATTGGGCGACGCGAACTATCCGGAAGTGACGCAACTTTGGGTCTCTTTAGCAGGAGAGCTACCTGCTGGACTTCCGCTGTCGTGCTCTTAAACAGCTCGATGTATCGTGTGCCCATGATCTCCCGGTGCTTCTTCAGGGCTTTGTTTGACTCGTCCTCGGAGGTAAACAGAACAAACGCATCTCCGGTAGAGCGCCCGTCAGGGTAGTGGACGAACAGGATACCGTCCTCTCCGTCCAATACTTGACATGGATTCGGCTCTCTCGCGAAGAACTCCAGCTGCAAGCGCAAACACAGGAAATAGCATGGCTAGTAGATGACATGGACATTACACCGACATGCAGCACCCCCACCCGACCCTGCCCACTACTCGAGTAGACACGCCCACATCCACGCCCAAAAGGCACCACCAGTGAGGAATGGACGTCGGAAGTGAGAAAGGTAATTGAAAGTAGCCAGCAACCGCCCCGCACCGTCCAAATCCAAAACACCTGCAATTCGACTGGACCATTAACACCGTGGATGCGACCAACCAAACAAGAATCACCACACGCCAGGTCTGTTACTAGCCTTTCCCAGCACTTACCTCCAGGGGGGAGAGCCACTAGTCACGTGATCATACACAGCACTGCTGAAAATAACACAGACAGAATGATGTGGCGTGCAGCCTGTACTCTGTTACACCATCCCAGTCACCACGACTACAGTTTATACGTCTACACTGTAATATGTCTTCATATGTGCATTTGTAAGTCTGTTTCACAGATAACTAATGCATTTTTTCTACACCGCAAACAAATCCAAAGTGTTCGTACTCACCACTTGTTGAGAAGTCGCCGTGAAGGGAAGTCCGCGCATGCGTATTATAACTTGACCTCCACGTGAAAGAAAAGCTTGTGCCTCTGAATTACTCCCTGTGGAAGAAAAGGTTCTACTGATTAGATTCCACACAAAAACTCCACTGAAGTTTTAATTTGGTAACACTATTGTACAGATTGTTGGTAGTGCATTGTGTGTTTGTTTGTTTGTTTAACGCTGCACTCAGCAATATTCCAGCTGTATGGCGGCGACCTGTAAACAATCTGGATCTGACAATCCAGTGATTGATGTTATGAACATCCATCTACGCAAATGGGATACGATGACATGCATCACCCAAAACAGCGAACCTGACCACCCGATCCCGTTAGTCGCCTCATGGGACAAGCATGGGTTGTGGAAGATCAGTTCTAACCTGGGTCTTTACGGTAGTGTATTGGGTGATAAAAAAACAGCATCTTTTTCATTGTTGTAACAAATTATTGTCAAATGTAACTAGATTGTAAAATTGACTGAGAGTGTTTTACGATTGATCTCAACACGTCTTGGATATATCCTTACGACCCCACACAGGGGAGGCAACTCGTGAAACACAAACGATCTTACCTCCTGCCACGTTGACGAAGTCTTTGCCTGTGGCCTTGTACACCTCGATATAACGCTGTCCTATATGATGTTTGTGACGCTTTAGCGCTAAATCGCGGTGAACCTCCCCATCAAACCTCACGAGGGCCTCACCATTCCGTCGTCCCTGAGGGCTCAAACACAGCGCCACACCTCCCCTGTAAATACAGTGTTTCTTTAAAGAGGCTGACTGGATAATACTCCTTGTTGTACCCCACTGTTGAGCACAGTCCACTACTAACAGCGGCGCTGAGGAAATTTAGTCGTACGTGCTAATAGGATCAATGTACGAGAAGATGGGTATTTTCGTTTATTTTTACCGTTATGTTAGCGGTTGAGTGAATTTGTTTGGGTTTAACGCTACTGTAAGTAATATTCTAACAATATTTAGGCGATATTTGTGCTATTTTTAAGCAAAATTTTAGCAATATTCCTAGCAGTAAGAAATGGGCTTCATACCTTGTACCCTTGTGGGAATAGAACCATACTTCAGGTCTTTTTTAAAACTATTTTCAATTCAATAGGAGAAGAAAAACAGCCTTGCTTACTCAATGATATTTAATATTAATTATGGAATTCACGTAAATTAGAAACAGCTTCATGTATGAAAACTTACTTTGCTATATTCAAGCCCTTGAAGAAACGTGCGATGTCCTGGTCTGATGATTGCCATGGCAACCCACGTGCCCGGACAACCGTATTGTCGTCGACGATGTCAGTCTTGCTGCTGTAGACAGAGAGAGATGTGGTGCGAGAATCCAACATGATAAGACGTCGAACAACGCCACTAGTGGACTGGTTTTAATATTGTCATTCAGGAAGAAGAAGAATGTCGTTACTTTAGCAAACAATGGTAATTCTATTACGCCTTATCGCTAATTCCATCTTTTATTAATTCTGGCAGAATTTCCGATGCCATGTCTCCTGGAAACAGGAGCGCGCGCTCTGACAGAGACAATTAAAAAGCCACAAGTGTCTCCCCGCAAATACCGGAAGTTGATCTATGGAAAACCACCGTATCTTTAGAGCCCGGATATCAAACGTTGGACAAATGCGGCAATGAGAATTCAAAGCTGATTTTAAAATATTAATTGGAAATCTATGAATGTTATGCTTACCATATCCCTGGTTCCAGGCGCTCACTGATGATTTCTGGCTCGACTAGCACGTGACCTACAAAGAAATGACGTCATGAGAACTCATTGTTGAACACCCATCACTGGTCTGTTGTCATTGTTTAACTTCTACGTAAGTAAGATGAGCAATAACAAAGTAATCGACCAAAACATCGAGTGACCTGTCACCACTTGTCTTCAACAACAGACCAGTCTTCGTGACACCACACGCGTGCCCACGTGTCGCTCTATCGGCCGTTCTGATGATTAAACGTACAATATTATCATGTTCCAGATGAGACGACGTCCAGCTCGAGTTACCAATGGGATATGCGTATTAGCAGTTGGCTCACTGAATATAACCCGTTTTTCACCTTGCAGAAACAATGTCATGGTTCGGCAAAGCCGCAGCGCCAAGACGGTTGGCATCAGAAGGAGAAAAGGGAAGAATGGATCTGATATGTGTTCCTCGTTGATTTCATGTTCTTGTGAAGTACGACAGTCGTAGTCTTTCATCGCAAGAAGTTACTTTAAACATACTTTGATTCATATATACTGAACATAAATGTTACGGATCATGCGTATGTTTGAGAGGTAATTTTGGTAGTGAAGACTTAGCACATAATGTCATCAAAATATCCCCCAAAATAATCATGATCCCTAGCTCTTTTTGTTCAGTGTACGAAAAGGTTCTCCCTTGAACCTAGGTGTCACTACACAACAGAAAAGATTGGGCGAGTATATATGGAAAGTTAGGTGATATCATAGCGCATTTTGAACTATACTACTCAAAAGATTATGTTTTCATATGACTATAGTTAATCTGTAATGGTTGGTGGCTATAGCAACACAAAGCCTCCTAATTGTGGGCGCTCTTTAACTTGTTTCCAGTAGTATACATTCTTTGATATAGCTTTCTGACAATGCAGGTCAATGCGTTTTTCCGAATGGTTTGAAAACTGTATACCATAAGCATAATGGCCAAAATGTCATTCACCCCTGACACTGCCCTTTCTGTAAAACCCTGTCAGTTCCAGCGTGCCCTTTCTGACACACCCAGATAGTCATTATCTGCGAATTGTCGGACGACATCAAGCAGAACTAACGGTTTTTGTCAGGTGGGTAAATGGCGGTGTAAATGCGATGCGGGGAAACACGATGCGCTGCGACTGCATTCCCTGTGTGAGCAAGTACGCAGTCGGTGCGGTTGGTGCACCGACTGCACCGTTGCTGCACTTCACAGGTGTGTCTGAACGCTCATGGCTCCCAGGTGAACGCCGGGACGCGGAAGGGGTGTGATGTTGGATTAGCGACAGGGACCATGTAGGTCTCGGCTGGGAAGGGACGGGGTAACTACTTGCTGACTTTAACTGTGAGATAACACTTATATTTACCCACACCTTCGCGGAGTCGTATGATGGTGCACGAAACAGCGTTTGTCATTTGCTACCAATTAAATGTACACCCTGAAAGGTTACGAGATATGGCGAGTGTTGACGGCGATCACGCTAACGGGCGTAGCCACAGATCTAACGGGGCAACATGGCATGTGGCACTTTAACGCCGAAACCGTGACCCACAACGCTGTGGCACAACCGGAAGTCTTCTACACACAAGCATGCGCAAACCAAGCAGGGTCGCGCTATGGCAGACGCTTGAGGAAGCACAGGATTAAATCCTCTCAGTGGAGCATGTCTGTGTCGACTCATGACCATGCTGCTCCATATTACCTGAATATTTTCATATCGTTATCACGACACAACTTCTAACAGCATATTGGCGTCAAGGTGGAGCGTCATATATCAAAGTTCATCTTTTAAACATGTACGTACGTGTAGATAGACGCCTACGTGGCACCGCAAATGCCGTTGATGTGGAGTCTTAGCCGTCTAAGGTTGTGATTTTATCAGGTAATTACACCAACAATTCTATAGCTCAATGACGTGATAGTCGTCTAGTGAAGTAATGCGATACCATACTCTCGTCAACTCTCGCAAATTTTCTACCGTGACCCCTTGCAACCATCCACGATAAGAAAAACCTTGCATTAAATATGTATACAAAAATATTATATATGAATAAATACGGTTATTATTTCGTTACCATGGTAACTTAATCAAATGTATTCTGACATTGATACACTTTTCTAACAGGCCGAAACACATGATAAACAAATTATGCATATTCGCATACTAGAATTCAGGCAGAGTCGATTAACAACTCAACAGCTGGTATGATATTAGTCACGTGATCGATTCCCAATAATGAGTGTATATTATGGAGAATTTTCAGAGACGGAGCTGGGAACAAGAGACGAACTCGAGTTGGCTCCCCATCTGTGACGACAGGTCTGACAGCACAGCGCCATCTGCTGCTCAACTATCAGCTCGCAATGAGATCAATATGCGCAGCGCCATCTTGTTGTTGAATATTAATAGATAAGCAAGTTTTATATGGCAACATGATATTTGTAGAGTCACAGTCACCCTATCGCAATCTCCCTGACAACATGTGTTTCTCTCCCAAAGATATCAAGCTTACAACCTACGCTGTATCTATCTGTGTCATGTTAATGAGGTCTACAAAAATATGGTTGAAGATTTTCAATATCAAATATATTGCATAGGTTGAAATAGTCCCGGCTTACTTTTAATCTCAAGTCGATCGATATTTTCAAGTCCATATGATATAGCTTTTCATCATAAGTTCATAAACGATAATCTTTTAATGGTTCCCACTACCGCCAGTTAAGTGCATCAAGTTGGATCGGTACATGAATAGCATTTCTAAAGTACAGAGTAGAGAGATATTAAAGCTGCAGCGTAAATTTATGTGTAATTAAACTTTAAATGTTATTGCTTTTCCGTGATAAGGGCTCTGCTGTGTTACCATGACAACTCATGTCGAGCAGCAGGGGGTCAACCGAATGGGGTCGAAGGTGAAAACAGACGACAAGCTAAGAAGATGGGAGCCAGGGATTGCGGCAGAAATAAATATTTGACTAAGACTCCCTGAATTCCCCCCCTGTGGCTACTCCATCGGCAAACACACGCGCAGCCCGAACCAATGTACACCTTCAACACCAGTCGCCCCAACGTGACTTACGTTCAAGGTCACAAGGTCTCGCGCATGCGCAAAGATGTCGCAGAGGATAAAACTGGATTCTTTTTCGAAGTTGGAACATCACCTCTGAATATTGTAAATCTACGTTTCCCATTTCTTGTATTACTTTCAGTTGAAGCAAACACAAAATTAAAAAGTATCGACAAACATGTACTACTAACAACACAACTAATTATAATACTCACCATCGTTGATGAGTCTGTGTAGGATGCTGGCCATTTCCTGGCATTGTCTGACGCCATACTCCACGGACTGGTCCTCTTGTAGACCCAGGTCTGAACATGTCGTTAAGGAAATAGTATGTGGGATAGTGAGGTCGTAACGTTCCACATGTCCAGCGGATCTATTCGTTACTGGATAACGCGTCGATAAAATGAGTTACATGACGACTTATAACATTTTGTTCTGACAATGTTGTTTAAATATCCACTGAAATAAAAACGGCTGTCGTGTTATAAGTTGTAATTCATAACTACTATCATTTCTGATCGTTCCATTTCTGATGACTGAAGTCTTGTCAGATTGAATCATCGTGTTTCAATTGCACTCCAAGGGTCGAGATGACCTGGAGTGTAACCTGCATCACAAAGCGACAGCTATGTTACAAGTGTGTGTTCTTTTAGCGTTAATATAACACCTTCGTTCAAGAGGTTTTACTCTGGGTAGACGAAAGTGAATGATGGGCGATTATATCAGCCTGCAGCGTTTAAACAATCACCAAAGACCAAGTCTTGTAAAAAAACTAGACAGTGAAAGTGATGGAGAAACGGAACAGGAATGAAGACTAAGAAACGTTATAACGCGACCTAGGCCTCGACTATAAGCTGGGTCTGTTCAGTGTTTGTGAAAGATCCATATCTCGAGTTTGCTCTAACGCGTCAATTTCCTGCACACAAACAATAGGACGGAGAAAACAAGAAACAGTAGTGAGTACCAGTTGTAGATTGACCAGCCTCTGAATGCAGCCTTAGCTAGATCAAGAATTGCATGTTTGATCAAACTTGGCCATGCTCAACTCAAACAATCGCAAAGCCCGTCAAACACTACCCCGAGACATTAAGAGACAGACTTAGCCTCCAAGGTCACGTCGCCTCCTGATCAGAGCACGCTCCAATCACGGACTTTTTGAAGCAAATGAAAGGAATCCCTCCAGATTCAGTTTATGACAGAAAGCATACCGTTAAATACCCAGATTGTTGAACATTTCTATTTCAGTCGTTTGAAAGGGACGACAATAGCATCCTCTTAACATGATATAATCTTAAGTGCTAAACACACGGCTGGGTGGGACAAGCAATGGAATCTGAGCCGATTCATCTCTACAATAGTAGCACATATAAACAGAATGACGTCAGCGAGTCAGTGCCTATTGGAACGTTATTTCATATATTGTTTGGTTGTATCTTCATGCGGAATATGTGTTTTATACTTCTTTGGTGAAAAAAGAACGGCGTGAAAAGTCAGTTTTCTTAACGCTAGTCATGATATTCAAGAATAACAAGTCATACCAGTGATTGACAGTGTGATCAACGCCCGAGCCATCGGGGTACGATGATACGCATTCAACCAGGTCAACTAGCCTGACCATCCGATCCATTTTACTCCTATTTGAGGACTGGTGAGTGAGTATGGTTTTACGCCGCTGATAGCAATATTCCAGGCAATGTCACGACGGGGAACACCAGAAATGGGCTTCACACATTGTACCCATGTGGGGAATCGAACCCGGTTCTTCGGCGTGACGATCGAACGCTTTAACCAGTAGCCTGGGACATAGTCTAGCATGCCCAAGGGACACAACTACGAACAATTCCGACGACAAATGACTAAGCCCCCCGTGCCCCCCAGAAACTCAATACCAGTGGCGCACACGTCAGTACTACCCACAGGTGGAGGTGGGGGGCAAGGGATAATACGCTGTTGTGGATAAATTACATCAAATTCTCATTTCAAGATTATCGCATGCTGCCCGGTTACTTGGTAATACAGAGAGTAAATACACTTAGTAAATATCTCACTTAAGCAGATACTCATATTTGCCCACAAACTGCGAGGATTAACAAGGGGCAGTATGATATTTCTAATCGGATCAACAGGTTATAGAGACTGGGCGTTGAGGGCAGATAAGTACGGGGAGGGTGGCGTATTGACAGAATGTAGATGATTGTTGACATTCATATCAGCATTATCAGCCATCAAATTTGATTACTCTGCACTTTATCTCTCATCATCACAGATCAGAAGAGACAGAACTGCTTCCTTTACAGATTGTATGCAGCAGATCCACTAAACGTGCCACATCGTTGCATAGTCGTTAATCCCCATTACACGCGCTGCTATTATTCACGTCAATGCTAGTCACATGTATGTCATTATTGTGAAGGGTAACGTCTATAGAAGCACACTGTATATTGAACATATGGATATACCAATGCAGGAGTTGCCCACACCTCTAATCCGGCACTACGGCTAATTGATACACTGCTGTACATTGGGGAGTGTATTGTCGGCTATTCAGTGGCGTTCGCAACACAGGAGGTGCCGACCGACCCTCAAGTGTGCGGGTCATACCTCGCTGAATCGTTGTGTTGTGTTCCCTCGTCCGGTTGGATCGGCGAGCTCGGGTGTGTATGGTGTTCATCACTTGACGGCGATGACCGGTTTTGTGGCGAACGATTTTGTTTGTTGTTTAACGCCGCACTCAGCAATATTCCAGCTATAGGACGGCGGTCTTTAAATAATCGAGTCCAGACCAATCAGTCAAGTGATTGATAGCATGGGCATCGATCCACGCAACTGGGATACGATGACATGCATCACCCAAGTCAGCGAGTCTGACCACCCGATCCCGTTAGCCTTCTCTTACGACAAGCATAGACGCCTTTTACAGCAAGCAAGGGTTGCTGATGACGAATTCTAACCCGGATCTTCAAGGGTATTTGCCTATAGACAATCCTTATTGGTGTAGTATGGTGTTTATACTATACCCAACGGCGTGGGGATTCGGTGTCAGTATGGATCCTTAGCAGCCTATGCTGGTCGTAAGAGGCAACTTAATGAATGGGGTGGTCAGGTTCAACTTGGTTGATAGCGTGTCATCATACCCCGACGGCGTGGATCGTTGCTCATGATATCAATCACTGGGTTTTCTGGTCCACACTCGGATCACTTGGCCGCCGCCAATTTGCTGGAAGACCGATCGCATCTTACGATCATCATAGGATGATGGGGACCTATTCCAACCCGGTATGTCCCTGTAATTTGGGTGCTTCAGGTTCCTGGTGAGCAGTCTATCCAGTGAATAGGGAGTATCCACCCCAATACATAATTACACAGCGATGATGTCATTGCTGTCAGGCACGGAACATACATGTGAGAAAACGGTTTTCCATTTTGAAAATATTTCATGAGTCTCCATGGTGGAGTATGGTTATCGTCCTCAAGAGTTCGCAAGTGCAATCCATACTCAGCTCGTGTACGCATGCGCATATCAAATACCACGTGTTGCCATGACACGTCCCTGCGTTTTCACGACATCAATATCCCCCTGCGTGCAATTAGTAAAACAGTCCATTTATCATGGTTCTGTTGCCATGACAACAAACCCTCGCCCCCACCTGTGACATACATTGTATATAGGCTAAATATATGGTTGTACGACTCAAGCATGAACCGTGTCCTTACTAATGATATGTAAACGATATGCAAATATTATGCAATGTGAAAATAAACTCAGCGACAGTGACGTAAGGCATATACTGTCGTAAAATGCTTGAATGCGCTGTGGATTGTGACCCGACATTTGCATGACAGCGTGTCATATTTAGGAATTTTAGACTGCAGCACCCTGCCTTGGATAGCAAATAAAACATGCCGATATCGCTGCATGCCGTAAATAGGCACGACGGGTGGTGCCGCAATGTGGTCTTAGGTTATGTCGTAAAGGTGCCAACCCGCATTCATTTGAGACTTTTCAGGAAACTGTAACAACCTATGTCAAATTTACACCGGCAAATGTTACTGTGCAACAAGACGAGATAAACATCGGATATCCAAGCATGCATAAAATTGTTCATTAAAACGTTTTTCTAAAGATTGGCGATTAAGTTTGGCTGGCGAATAGAATACGGTTATTTTGTGGGACGAGCCTGGAGGGATGGCAATGCGTTGACAATAGAGTTATATATAACAATCACACGTCATTGAAATCGCGCACCTGTTGTACTCCTTAATCTTCTATCTATAGCCCAGCAGACACCGAGATAACGGTAGATTGTACAAATACCGGTACTGACTGCTCGTGCCATTATGACGCAACTGCTTCAGGGAATATGTTCAATTTCGACATTCGTAGCAACATAGCATCTTTAACGTTCAACAGTTAGATTGTTTGCGAGGCGTTGCAAGTGTCTGAACGATTTATGCGGATCATTGAGACACTACATTGCTCATTTGTTGCTGCGGAAAAACCATAAACATTAACAAGAAAGAAAACGGCTGGTCTCTCATCCGTCATATTCAAGACAGCCATTAACCCCGAATACCTTGGCCGTCGAACACCACACCAACAAAAACAACACATCTAAACGTTATGCATGGCTATCTCGCCAGCACCCCGAGGGGGTACGATGTCACGTGACCTAGATGTGACCTAGCCTGAGGCAAGGGAGACACGCATCATCCATCACCCACAGCAATAGGAGTCTCCGTACCCCGGAGTCAAACACATCGCAAATCAGTCCAATGTGACAACCGTTACCTTTAACTGGGGAAGACGTTGATCTGTCATAATCTCCTGCTGGCGAGATAACTCGCCCGGATCAATCACATCGGTCACCATAAAAGTGTCACTAAGGTACATCTACATCTACTTCCTCCTAGGGGCGGTCGGGTAGCCTAGTGGTTAAAGCGTTCGCTCGTCACGCCGAAGACCCGGGTTCGATTCCCGACATGGGTACAATGTGTGAAGCCCATTTCTGGTGTCCCCCGCCGTGATATTGCTGGAATATTGCTAAAAGCGGCGTAAAACCAAACTCACTCACTCACTCTACTTCCTCCTTGCAACGACTACCGCTACTTGAAGTCGGAGGATGAACGGGATGCAGGGTGTATCATGCATCTACAGCAGGTGTGGACTGCCTATGGATTCCCTTCCTGTCACGCCTAGCCTCCAGCTCTCAAAAATAATCAACAATTAGAATCGTAGTTGACTTTTGGGTGAGTGAGGGAAATAGGTTGAATGCCCCCACAATCCGCAATAATACAGCCATATATC